ATGTCTTATAATATTTTGGAATTTCCAAATATTTGCCTTATAAAACAAAATCTTATCAATATGCACTTTAGCTCAAAAATGGCTAAAATATGCATTTGTATATGCACATATGCAAATGCATAATGATCCTAATCCTAGTTATCAGTCATGTTTTAAGTTACTTAGGCCTTAATGGTAATGCGTTTGTGGTTGATTACGCTGGTCTTTGATAAAACTTCTTTGATGGCATAAATTTAATAATAAACCATTTAGAAAAAACGACACCATAGTTTTTCTTAATCTAGATGTTATAAGGGTTAATGTGATGTGTGGTGTCATAAATTAACATGAAATTTTTACTGGATTACATCAGCGCCTACACTATGCTACTTCGATTGGAAAATAATCAAACACCTGGTTCACAAAAATTATACTACGAAATTATGCCTCAGCATAATACTACTCCCTCTCTAATCCTTGTGTCGTCCCGACACACTCACTATATACATGATAATCCTGAAACTTGGTAGGTCTCCTCTTTTTCCGCTGCTGCCACCGACGTACTGGAATGTCTTCAGAGTCCTTCCTTGACGCAGTAACCTCAGTCACATCCTCAGGTCGGTCTCCCTCTCCTGTCACGTCCAATTTCGCTAAGAGGGAACAGTGCTCCTCTTCCTGGTTCATGGCCGGGTCCCCTGGATCAGTACGGCCCTGAGTTCTTACAGGATTTCCGGTCTGGCCCTCGTCGTTGGTAGGTGGCAGCTCCTCAGAGCTCTTCCCAGGTGTACTGCCCTGGCCCATGATATTGCCACAGACGATTGACATGGACTACCTTCGGCTGAGCCTTCCTTCTTCCCCTGACCCGGTAGGTCACGTCTGAAAGGCGTTCCACTACAGTGTGTGGTCCTTCCCGCGAACTCTGTAACTTCGGTGACCGACCCTTCTTCTACAGAGGGTTGTACAGCCACACCTTATCACCGTCCTTGTAACAGACCTGGCTTGCTTTGACATCATGGTTGCACTTCATTACTTCACCCGAGAACTCCAAAGCTTATTGAACTTAATGGTGGACCTCCGTCAACCTTTCTTGGAGGCTTTTGACTCAACTGGTGGTGTCTTCAGCAAGTTCTTCGTCGAGTTGTCTTCCTGTCAGCAGGTCCATTGGCAGCCGCAGTTCGTGACCCAGCAATTCAGTTTTGCCAGTTGACTCGTGGGCAGCAGACCGACATGCTATCAGCAGAGTAGGCAGCTTCTGGTCCCATTCTGTCTGCCCCTCAACACAGTACTTGGCCAGTTCATGTCCCAAGGTCCTATTAACTTTTCTACCATTCCGTCTAACTGTGGTCGAAGTGTAGTGGTCCTCGTCTTCCTTATGCCCAACAGTTTACAGCACTCGCTGAGCACAGCTGACTCAAAGTTTCTGCCCTGGTCCGAGTGCAACTCGTGCGGCACACCAAACCGGCAGAAGAACTGGTCCACCGGCACCCTGGCAACAGTCGTGGCTTCCTTACGTGGGATGGCATAAGCTTCGGGCCACTTATAAGTAATCCATGGCCACACAGATGTACCTATTCCCAACTGCAGTGAGTGGCATAGGTCCTGCAATATCCACTGCGACCCTCTCCATTGGTGCTCCTGCGTGGTACAACTGCAGTGGGGCACGCAGGTGTAGCTTTGGTCCCTTCTTGGTGCACCAGACATCGTATAACCGGCACCATTATTCCACATCCCTACGCACGCCAACCCAGTAATACCTTTGCTGCAGGCGACTCTGGGTCTTCTTCACTCCCAGATGTCCACTGGTTGGATTGTTGTGCATCTCCCCCAGGATCTCTGACCTCATCTTCCGGGAAAGTACTGTCTGCCAGTACCTGTTGAGGCCATAGGTAGTCACTCACTGGCGCTACAGCAGACCATCCTTCAGCCGAAGATCATCCCACTGAGCCCAGTAGATTTTAGTCGTAGGACTTGCTCCAGAGATCATCTCCCAGGCTGGCTGTACTGAGCTCTGGTTCACCCACTCGACCACTGGTCGCAGGTCTTGGTCTTCCAGCTGCAACTTCTCAAGGCCTTTCCCAGCAACGGTTGGATCCTCCAACACTGCTGTGCGACTACACTTCTTGGGAACTGCCTCTCTCCTGCAACGCTGCTGAAAATCTGGCTCGACCACTCCCAGACGGGTATGCAAGGCACCGTTCACCTTGCACGGCGGCTGATCTGATGCAATTCCTACAATCAAAACGAAAAGATCAGAAGGAGCAACAATAAGGTTGTAAGAACAGCTACTGCAAGAACAACGATAACAGAAGCAACTACTGCAAGAACAGAGCGAAGAACATAAACAACCACTGCAAGAACAGAGAGATGAACAGAAGCAACAACTACAGCAGCTGCAGGAAGAGATCGACAAGAAAATTCAGGAAAGGGATGAGGCTCTGCAAGTGATGTGCAACAGATGGGATAATGCGTTTCGTGAGGTGCAAGTGGAAGTGGATAAAAAATTGAAACAGCACAAACAAAAAGTGAGTGGTTAGATGACAGAGGTACGAGAGGAGCTAACAGTGGTGTACAGTGAGCTACTGAAAGTCAGTAGCAGGATGGAAGTTCTGGAGAATTGATTAACAGCGGGGTACCAGCCAAGATCTGGTGACCCGTATTATTGTGATGGTGTGCGTGAAACATCGTTTGTGCACGCTCCGAGTGGAATGCATAGTGTTGAAAATTATGGAACATATGATGAGCGTGTGGAAAAGGGAAGTGTTGGGTTGAATTACAGAGCACTTGAGTTCAGACCCCGAGCTACGTCAGGTAAAGCGATGAACTATCCAAGAGAGCCAGCGAAGAAAAACCACAGGAATTCGATGGCAAGGTCTCATGGGAAGCATAACAAGCACAGTTTGAGTTACTGGCTGAACCAAACGGGTGGGACGACAAGCAGTGTGCAGTACAATTAGCCACGAGTCTTAACGGCGCGGCTGTGGAGGTTCTCAGCCAGTTGACAGAAGAGCGTAGCAGTTACATGTTACTGGTAAAGATCTTGGAACGAAGGTATGGAACCAAGCACCAAAATGAGGTTTGCAAAGACAGATGCCGTCCTCTTACCCGTAATTGAGGTGAAACACTGCAACAGCTTGCTCAAGACCTGGAAAGTATGGCTCATAGGGCGTACCCTGGAGCATCACCTGATCTGTTAGCCATGTTGTTGAAGGACCAGTTTGTGAACACATTGAACAGCACACAGCTCAAGATTTAGGTGAAGAAGTTCCAACCTGTAACTCTACAGGAATCTTTGGCGAGAGCCATGGCGTTTGAATCTTACGAGAGGTCAAGCTTACCAACCTTCGGGACGGAGTCAAGCTCTGGGTTTAAAGCAAGAAAGGGCAAAGTACAAGAGACAGGGAGATTTAAAGGAACCTACTGGTAATGTGGGAAGATTTGGCACAAACAGGAGGACTTTCAAGCGGAAATGAGAGCAAGAGAAGGGCAATACAGAGAATAACGTGGAAAAGAGAAGATGTTGGACGTGTGGAGAAGATGAACACTTCAAGACTATTTGCCCACAGAATTCCAAGAGAGGGAAAGAAGAGCAGCTCACTAAGACGTGGAAACTAGAGATGGCTGGTGCTAAGGGGCAACGACCAGCCTGTCTCAACAGAGCCCCACTGTTGACAAAAGGCCACCAAGTCACTGTACGCAGTGTCCAGGTTGAAGGTGAGATCGATGGCGTAAGGTGTCCGCTGGAGATCGACACAGCCTCGGAGCAGACTTTTGTGAGGCTGGACGTGGTTAGTCATCGAAAACTACCTGAGACGTCGCAGCAGCTATGCGGGATAACTGGACACTGCGCATTACTAAATGGACCAGTGGATATTAGCATCAAGCTGGGAGGGGAAAAAGAAGCTCTGCGGGTTTATGTAGCGGATATAGCAGACCCTTGCTTCCTGGGTCTGGACTACCACCTACCTCGCAGGTGTCAACTGGACCTTGGCTCGATGCATTTGAGAATAAAGGGAAAGTGGGTACCGCTGAGGACTGTGAAGCATGCAAGTGCTAAGATTACAGCTAGGCGAACAGTAGTTATTTCCCAGAGATCGGAGATGCCGTGCAAGGTGAACAGTGCCTTGCATACCCGTTTGGGAGTGGTGGAGCCCGATTGTCAGCAGCGTTGCAGGAGAGAGGCAATTAGATAATCATGAAACCAAGCATGGATGTGAGGAATAATATGGTTCATAAGAGAATGCTTTATCACCCTCTGTGATAATGGTCTTATCATAGGGTCTACTGCATGGAACCTGGGCTTGATCCTTACAGTGGAGGACATGATGGGAGCATGAGTGACATATGAGCGACACAATTGATATAAAAGTGTCACAACAGGAAGTAGATTAATTAGCGTTTGATGGAGAAATAAGATAAAAGTAGCGTCACCATATTTTATTATTAGTTATACTCGTATAGGTAACAATAAATGTTGCCTGCTTAATATAATATAGGGGCCTACAGTACACCCAATAACTTTGTAGATAAATTAGACTGTAAAACTATGTCAGATTAATAAATGCAGTTCAACAAACCGAAAAGATCCTTTTCTCTTTTATGCACATCTGTTTAAGTTGTTAAAGAAAGATTTTCCACATCAGCAGAATTTAAGATTTTCAATATTCATATAAATTGGTGAAATTTAGAAAGAAATTTTTAACGTATAAGAATTCACGTGAAAACTTTTAATATATATTTATTTAACAATCGTCTTTTTTTCCTTAGCCCTTGAAAATTACAAAATATATTCTTTTATATATATATTTATACCTTTTGTTAATATATCTATTGGCAGTATTCAGGGGGCTAGTTTATTGGGCACCCTTTACATCCTGTGCAAGGTGAAGGGCAGAAGCGTTATTTATGAATTAATGTTTGCTGTATAAATCTTTACTAAATAAATTAAACTGTAATACAATAAAGTTGTTTAAATAACGCGGTAGAGACATAGTTAAGGACCCGGCCAACAGATGTAGCCAGATTGTTTACAAACAAATGAAGTCATAAAGCATCTTTACCTCAAGACATGATTCATAGGTCTTGTTTCACCTTCATTTAGTTCATATCCGGTGTACAATTAACTATACAATACCCCAGAGGTCTGAAGATCAAGACGGGATATAAATTACGGTTGTATGTTGAAGGAAATAAGTTTTTTTTCACCATTTTGTAGCTCAGCCTCGACTACAGCCAGTCCTTGTTAACGGATGTTTTTGGTATATCTCTCGAGGTAATTAACTACTAACTCACTCTATTAGTATTATGAGTAGTTGTTTGTTGTGGAATGTATCTAATAGCTGTGAATAATCTGCTTTATATATAATGTTCATCAATAACTGGTGTGTGTGTGTTCACGTGTTGGTGTATTGTTCTTAGTTTATTAGTTTGTTAAGTTATTGGTTATATTCTATATCATATATTCAAGGGAAAGAACAGTATTATGGTTTTTTTATGGGTCCTTTTTTTATCTAATATATTAAACAAAGACTGGAAGGAATTGTAACTTTTTTTTAGTTTTGTTTTGTTCTATTGTTTATGTTAAAAATAAATACAGTCAGGTAAAATATTAGTTTAGGTCATCCCTGTATTTAGTTATCTGACCTCACCAACCTAATCTATTGTAAATTAACCTAACCTAACCTTAACCTAACCTAACCTAACCTAACCTAACCTAACCTAACCTAACCAACTAACCTACCTAATGTAATTTAAAGTAAGGTGCTTCCATCCTAGGGCAGGTAGGTTTAGATAGCTTATCTACAATAAATTATTAGTCGCTAAAAACATATTCCTTATATTCTCTGCAGGCATGAAATGCTGCCAAGGCAAAATTTACAAATTAATAATACAAGATTGCTGATAATCCTTCATATTTGTTGGTACTTTTATTATAAATGCAACAAATTTTTTAAATAATTTATACAAAAATGTTCAGATGTTACTGTATGTTTTTCGTCCGTATGGGACGGAAGCATTAACGTCTTTCAAACATACGTCTCTTGGGCTTAGACGAGCATGTAACTACAACGATAATTTTCAAGTGCAGTTTTTATGTTGAGTGTGGTGATAATATTTACCTTATATAATTCTTTGGAAAATCAGGTTTTCACATTTTTTTTCCTTTTTTGGTAATGTACGAGAACACTACTGTACCACCAGAAAGAGTTGTTCAAATTTGTTGATTTTTTCCACATATGTTCTTACCATTATCATAAGTATTTTAAAAGAGGCGACATTTATTAGAACTTAATATAATCTGACCTAACCAACCAAAGAAACTTATCTAGCCTGGTGGCTCTCCCTCCCAGACCCCGTACCATAATAAACAGAAAGCACACATTTTAATATCTGGTACCAAATGAAAGCAACTTTCTTAAAGTGTCATGGTGTAATTTTATGATTTTTTGTGGATCTGAGCATAAATTTGGACCGAGCAGGTCGGTGTAAACAAACTTAGAGACATCAATACTCGCCGACAATGGCAGATTTTTCGGAGGAATGTTTAAGGTAAATAATTCATTTTTTTGCTTACAAAGCATGTAGAAACATTATTTCAGTGTCAAAAAAGTTTTTCACCGTGTTTTTACCCGCAATTTCCTTCGTCCTTCATGCCCTGCCCACTACAGGTGATCTATGTTCATAGATAGAAAAAACTAAAAAATATATACAGTATTCATAATTAAAATAAATAGTTGTTGCCTTTTTTAAAATAGTACAAACTATAATGATAAAAACGTCTGGGAAAAAAATGAACGGAATCGAACAACTCCTTCTGGTAGTAGTGCTGTTTTCAGAATTTATTTTTTTCTGGTAATGGTGACATTAAGAGTTGGTATCAGTTGCTATACATCTGTCATGTGCCTTTTCCACCAATCGGCAGCTGAAGTTTTGGCCTAGTATTGGCTCATAATTTCATAACATCATGGAAAGCCCTTTTTTTTTCAGCCAACAACTATTGAGTTTTCATTTGTTCTTCATTCAGTGCCTTTCTTGCAAACTTAAATTAGATTTCTTGTGGTTCTTTCCCTTTTGTGTGTGCATCCACTCCTCTTTTCTCTGCTTGTGAAGTTTGTTCTGTCAGTGAAGTCAAAATGATTCAAAACTATTTAGACGAGGATGATAAGTCACTCGAGTCCTTACAAAGAAATCAAGCACTCAAATAACTTTTTTGAGTCTTGCTGTGTAATTTCTAAGAAAATAACTTGTTCCAGGTGTAATATAACTAGTAGAGTTATACAACTATTGCAAGTCTTTAGTGGCAATTATTAACCCTTTCTCTGTGTTTCCCGCACTTGCCATTTTATTTTGGCTACCGCCAGATGATTTTATCCCGCACCCAAAGGGTTAAAACAAATTATATTTTTGTTTTTCACTTATTACTGCTAATGTGTACTGTATACAGACTGACTTCTCAATTGTGTATGCATGTAAATATTTAAGTTGTGTTGCAAACTATCATTTTATTAAATGTTGAAGTTCTTTTTATTTATTTTTTTATTTTTTTGGAATGTATCTTCCAATTTATAATGATAATAGATAAAGATTTAAATTATGATGGGGTATTCAGTAATGCAGCCGTCATAAATCCAGGTATACCTGTACTGTACAGTTCAATAATGAAGAAGCATTTATGCTGTAGCAAACTGTTTTATAGTGCATTTATATATACAGTATAGTCTGCATTTACACGGTCAATTGAACCCGTGGAGGTCCGCGTAAAAAGAGAAATGCGTAAACGAAATAACAGAACATATGGGATTAATTGAAATAGAGACTGGGCCGACCCCCAAACTCCTCTTTTTCCGACACAATACATACCTTGTAGTAAAAATAACATCTTAATTTTATGATGGTATGCACACACAATTAATATTTAAGAGAAATATCAATAATATTAGGTTTTTTAACACTTACGTTAGTAGAAAAGATTGGTCGGCACACGTGGATGGCGGCTGGTTCCGAGGCAGAGGGCAGATTAGTTGCCCTCCGGTGAATCACTTTCACTACTCGCAGAGGTTTGCAGGGCCTCCCAGACAAACCCCTCAAAGTCCATATCCTCACTGTCACTATCACTGACTTGGGCTGGCTGTGGTTGTGGTGGGTTGCGGGCGAAGAAGTCCTTAATACTACGTTGACGACAAGCATTGATGTTGTCGAGATAGATCTGGATATACGGCTCCATAACTTTCGTCAGATGGTTATTAGGCACTTCATACCGATGCTTGTCTGGGTCGTTGTCAAGGATGAGCTTAATTTTCTCCCCCCAACTCGATGATTTCCTTCACACACTCATGGCTTGGTCCAGGTAATTCAAGGTTTTTCTCGGGTGGTGGGGGTCCAGCGGAAGCCATTGTGAGGGGAATAGCGGGCACAAGAGAGAACTGTATACGCGGACTGAGAACAATGAGACTGGCCCGACTAGGTCAGCGACTTCTACCCTCTGGTGGCAGGGCACGTCATGTTACATTAGACCAATCACAGCTAGCGGTGGAGGGAATGCGTGGGTGGTAAGAATGCGTGGCCCAATCACAGTCCGATACGTCATATGATGTCAACGATAACGTAAGAGCGGCCAAATGCGCACCCCTCACCGCGCCGCTTCCCGTGTATGGTCAAGAATGAACCGCGTGGGTAAAAAATGGCGCGGCGGTCTGGACCTCGCCGCGTAAATGACCAAATTTACCGCGTAATTAAAACATTTCATTCTGGCAAGGCGCCGCGTAAATGACCAAACGCGTAAACAAAAACTGCGTAAATCCAGACTATACTGTACTGTCTTATGGTTGTGTTTACTATAATGATGAAGGTTCACTTTTTGCTTTTGTACAAGTGTACTTAATGAACTTGATGATTTCAGTTACTTTTTTCAATGGATAAGGTGAAATTAGGAATGATGATGTGGCAGCATTAAGATTAATAATTGCTTTACTCATTTGGTTTCTTAACTAAATGATTTTTGTATGATTTTTTTATTTATATTTTTTTCTTCTTCTTATTGCATGTTCTTGGGTTTTGTATAACCTTGGAGTCTCCTGTTGGGCAAATGGAATCTGTTGATCATTGGAGAATCTTAAGATTAGACGAGTATGAAAAACTTTACATTACTGGACAGTGTTTGTTAAGTGAGCAATTTAGCTGTTTTGGTGAGATCTCTCATGTAGACCAAGATGTATTTGGATAACTTCTTTATATAAAGTACAGTACTGTACAAGTCAGGCTGATGAACAAAGAAAAAATAAAGAATTGATCCTGAATTCCCATTTTATGGTTGAGTTCAGAACTACAGTATGTTGGTTCCTACAGTGTCAGTCTAAGACCCAAGAGGTCTTGACAGTGGTAGCCATGGTTAATCTTAATGACCAGTCAATCTCCTCAAAAGCATTAATTGCCTTGAAAAAGGGATAATTACAAGTTCAGAACTTATAACCCTTCCATTTAACTGACTTTTCTTGCTTGGAACACCTTCATTGTAGAAAGTTGGCAAACAGGTAACATGAACTAACCTAATTAATCTTATCCTAATCCAACCTTGAAAACTTCCCAACAGGGACCAAAAGCTGGCCGTCCAAACTGGCGCGAGCACCAAGGAGGACAGTTGCTGTGGACGACTGCACTGTATCTTCTAACACTGTTTTAACTGTGATATAATATTTTTACATCATAATGGTGTCAGTGGAGACTTATACTCTCTTGAGAGAATCCTGTTGTGGGAACAAACTTCCATTACTAAGCAGCCAGCCAAAAACAACTGAAAATAATGAAAACAATAGAATCAAAAGCTCTCTGACCTGATGTTCAGAGATACGAACCAATCTGTCCATATGTCCAATTGACTGTTAGAGCCTACAAAATTAATTTAAGCTATTTATACATTAAAATTCTATTAGATACTGTTATGATATACTGTACTGTAGAGCAGTGCTTCTTAAACTTTATTAATGCCATTCACCCTCAGGTCATTATAACAAAGTCTCATTCATCCTCGACTTAACCTCCGTAACTGTACATTTCCCCAATTTTAACTATTACCACTGTGTTTTGGACGAAAACCTACATGGGAAAACATAATAATCTCATTAATAAAATCATTTCCCAGCTTTTTCTACATAATTACTGATATGTTTACCAACATAAAGTGCAAATTTCATGAAAATTTTACACTGTAACATTACATAATCCCATGGATATTCTATGGCCTTCCTGTCAAAGTACATTATTCTCTACAACTATTAACCTTACTGAGATTTTATCCTTCCTAGTTATTAAACATTGGGATGAAGAACTATGAGTCATTCATGCCATATCTTCAAGGTTTAAAAGAGAAGCAAGCACTTACCAGCAGGAGGCAAATGACGAGTTGGAACATCTGATCAATCATGTAAATACAGGTTGACAACCCTTTATCCGAAATTCCAAAAACCGGAAAGCTCTAAAAACCAAAAGTTTATTTTGTGGGCGAAACTTTTTTTTTTTTAAAACAGGGATTAGCCCACCCGGGCATAGATCACTGACCCACATACACGAAAATAAAATAATAATGATAATAATAATAATAATAATAAAATATAATAATAATAACAGTAATACTGTAATGATAAAATAATAATAATAATAATAATGATAATAATAAAGAAATACAAGAATGAAAAAAAAAGATCAAAAGTGAGAAACACGACCTAGACCTATGAATTATTATTATTATAATTTTTATTATATTTTTGCCACCCAGGCCCCAATGTGGGTCAGCGACTTGTGCCTGGGTAGGCTAATCCAAAAAATAAATAAAAAAAATAAATAAATTAACCATTCTGAAAACCGAAAATTTCCGAAATCCGAAATGCCTCTGGCCCCAAGGATTTCGGATAAGGGATTGTCAACATGTAAATAAATTTTCTCTTGCAGTATAAAGCAAGCCCATTTTCTGTCATATTATAAGCATAAACTTTCTCATTTATAATTTTGTGAGTGGCTGGCAATTAATTGGAAGCTCTTTAATCATACAAATCTTGATAATTCAATCAAGATTAATTCATTCACCTCTCTAGTTTCATTCACCCTAGGTTGAACCATTCACCAGTTTAAGAAGCACTACTGTAGAGTAATGTGCTTTGTCTATTATTGGGTATATAGCTGTACTGTACATCCTTTATTTATTTATTTTTTTTTTTACAATTTGTTCAGTATCTACACAAGTAAAGTTGGACTTATGAACAAGCCTCAGGGACGGGATTCGTTTGTAAGAAGAGACGCAATTATCGGTATGGTTTTCATGGTCTGTGGGACAGGTTTGGGGTTAGGCAGTAGTGTTCCAGAGATACTTCACATATGTGGTGACATTATTTTATTTGCTGCACCTGCTCCTGGCTGAGAATAAAGTCTTAAGATTTTGTTAATACAGTACTGTACAGTATAGTGATTTCTGAACACTTGCAGTAAAGACTTTTGATGAAAACTGCTTATCCGGAGGAAAACATTTGTCTTGCAACTTTGGGCTAAACTTTATAACAACTGGACAACAGTGAGCTCTGTGTTGTATCTGTTGTTTGTTTAAAAATTGGACAATGTCCATGAAGAATTCTTAAAAGTTACCTTGTAATTGTTGGATCTTGATTTACAACCTAAAGAGGGCTAATGATGATTTCTTATTGAAGTGGAAATGTAGCTGTTTTATTGTGAGTCTAGTATTTTTTATTGCATTCAGGAAATTGACAGATGTATGACTTAAGCTCTTATCTACAAGTGTAACTTAAGTTGAAGTTTCCTGTTTAATTGTAATTGTACAGATGGTGCTCATTACATTGCTGTAATACAGTACAGGCTGTACCTGTGTTGTTTTTCTATTTAGCATTGACTTTGTGTATCCTAAGGATGAGGGTTGCAGGTACAGTATTTGTAAAGTGTGTAATTACATACAACATACATTACCATAATGTTAGGGTCTTCAAAAATGATTCCTGTTCCTTTCTCAGTTGTAGTGTGGCCATGTAAGAGTGTGTGGTTGATGTACTGCAACGAAATCCAGGTATGAGATGGACCCCAGGCAAGGATCCTACAAGGGAAAGGGCAAGAAGCCTCTAGGAACTCGTCCTGGTAATTCCAGATGATTTTTGTATATCTGGAAAAGATCAGAGCTTCCAAGCTGGGTGTTTGAAGAAGGAGCTTGCCAAGCTTGTGTGCTGTGAATGTGAATGTTTGTACATGTATTGCCTTTGACATAGTAAGAATGGAGCTTTGCGTTGCTTGAGCACTGGCAAAGGAAAACTTTTGCACAACATTTTTTTTCCACAGTTAAGCAGTCGTGCTTTGTTTGTTGTTTTTTTTTGCAAAAAAAATGGTGAAATGGAAGTAAGAAGGCTTATATGATCACCTCTGAGTATTTCATGACTTTTATAGCAGTGGTTCATGTTACAGGCAGGATGGACAGTGAGCTGCTGGCGCTACAGTGGATGGAGCACTCACGAATTTTCAGCCAGGCCATCGGAGGCCTGCGAGGCAAGGTAAGCTCTTTACAACTTGAAGAATTAAACTTTGTATTAATATGTTTAACTTTCAATTATTTTCATTTACTGTAAACCAATATACATCATCATCATAATAATAGCTTAGGCTACTGCAGTGTAGATAAGTAGAGCATGTACTGTACTGTACTGTACTGTACATGCTGGTGTGACATCATTACTGTTGCTTTTTGTTTTAATTGATGACTTCTGCTTCATAGGATCCCTTATCAGTACATGTATCCCCCAAGTTATGGAAACTCAGCTTGAAGAAATTCACCCATACAGAATATGTAAATTTGCGATGCAGCCCGTAAATTCACCCTTATGAAAATGGGGTAAATTTTCAAAATTTCCAACACAGATATCACGATATACTGTATGTAGAACAAAAACTATTTGGTGTGGATTTTTTGGTGTTTGCTACCACACAGCGTGGGTACATAGCTGCTGGACTTGGTTTGATCTCTCAACTCTGGCTCATGACTTTAACACTTATTTAAGACTGTCCAGTGTATTACCCTTATTCAAGGTGAGTGGAAAGAGGCCACCAAGTGCAAGTAGTAATGTTATAAGAGCCCATAAAGGAATTGTATTGAATGTAAAACTTGATGTTTTATGGAGTTTGGTGTGGGAGAAAAACAATGGGGCTTGGTATGTCTCCCAATAATTCCCATTGCACCACCTTACCTCGTGCACCACTCAACATCATTTGTTGTGAGTTAAATACATTTATTTAGTGTACTATATATTATTACAGGTTGAACCTAAATTTAATGGGACCTGGACTGTGCCATTAAGTCTAATTTGCCATTGCATCAAGCTATCAAGATTATCATATTTGTCATAATATTTTAGGTTAGAAATGATAAATGTTTTTTGTTCCTCCTTTGATGGAGTTCTGCACCTCTGAGAACTGTTAGGACTAGAAATGTTTGAAGGACACAGCCTAAAGCCTTACAGGCCCTCAAAGCAACTACTGAGCTGGGGTTTTAAAGTACAGTACAACGTGTGAGGAGCTGCTTTGCAACAATTTACATTAATCTGTCAGGAGTCTCAAGACATTGTAGTCTGCTGGTAGAACATGTCAAGTCTTCTGGCTGTATTAGTCACCAGAGTGGATTACTGTATTCATTTTTTCATGTGTGTATGTGTACAAATTTGTGTCTTATGCATATGAGTTTTGTTTGTACAATAGTACAGTATATGTGTATGTGAAAGTTTTTGCATTATGTTGAAATTATTCCATTTTGTAAAGTAAACTACAGTATTGTATATTGTTTCTTTTACAGGCTGCTTATACAGATGCAACTTTGGCATGTGAAGGACGTTTCTTTCCAGTGCATAAATTTGTGTTGTCCACCTGCAGTGAATATTTTAATGCCATTTTTGAATGGACCCCCTGTGTGAATCCTGTAGTTGTTCTGAACAATATCTCATGCAAAGAACTTGAGGCCCTTCTAGATTTTATGTACATTGGAGAAGTCAATGTGCGGGAAACACAAATTCCAGGGGTTATGCACGCAGCAGAGTGTCTGAGGATCCGAGGACTCACAATGGTTGACGACGAGGGCTTCAAAACCCAGTTATCAGCCAGGGCTCCTTCAGATGATGGGCCAGCCAAAAAGAAGAGACGCCAAGATGTTAGGAAGAGTGTCGCAACTACCTCCAAAATACATCTTCCGCCTCCCATGAACCCTCCTCCACATTCAACATCTCACGTGCAGCGCCCTCAGCCTCCAGCATCAGCACCACAGTTATCCACCGAGCCAAATTTGCCACCAATTACTGAATCTCGTGAACATGTATCTCTTACCCAACATAAGCCTCAGCTCCAACAAATACAGCTGCAGCAGCATACTTCTCCCATTCAGAACAGCACACTCCCCCAGCCACCTCACACCCCACAACATGGCCATATGAGTGTGACACAAAATCACCAAGACCAGACTTCTCCCACACAACTTCTACATCCTCCTCATCCCACCAGTCCGACAGATCTCTCAACTCACGGACAGGCTCAAGAAGTGACTCTATCTCAGTCTCTGACTCCAATTGAGAAAGTTATTCAGGCAGTAAAACTGGAACATGCACTTGAATCACAAGCTGGGGATGGAGCAGTGGGAATACCTGAATTGTTGGACAGCTTTGTTGACATCCGGCCACTATATGATGCCAAGGCAGCACAAGGAGAGGAGATTGCAACATTTCACTCAGCGGTAATTTTATCATACATTTTGGTTGTTGGTTTAGGACTAATTGAAAGTTGTTTGGAGTCTATCAAATAAATATTTAATCCAGAGGGACTTTGCCCATTTCACAAAAGTTGTGGACACTATTGGGGTGCAGAGGGTTGATGATTTGAAGTAACGTAAATTTACTCCATTTCCTCAAAAATTTATGACTACTCTTGGCATTCACTTACAGTACAGCTACTGAGGCATTACTCTCGGTTATTATTTTCTTAGTAGCATTCATTTGGTATCACTACTTCAGGGTTGGCTACACAATTTAAATCTCAGTCATTTTAATTATTCTTTACTGTGACTTATTTTTCTTGCTTCCCTTCTGTGTTCTTGTGTGTGTATTCAGGTAGTTACTGAGACAACCCTCATTCTCTTTACATGTCTCTGTGGTACATGTGGCTGGATACCACACTGTACTCATGATCATCTTGAATAATAAAAGCCAGACTCACAAATATGGTATTGTTAAGTCTTTAACTCTTTATGGTATGAAGAATGAAATATTGTGCAAACTTTTATGAGAAATTTCTTATCCCTTTCAGGAAGCAAATGACAACCTGTATGACTTTACTGAAGAATTTCCTGAGACTTCTGCTTCTTCACATTCAGAAGTTCAGTTTCAGAGGGTTAGTAGTAATAATGCCAGTTGTATGGGAAGAGAAGAGAAAGAATGGTGTGATGTCGATCAGTACTTGCTATATTTTTTATCATCATTTTGTAACATATAATCAGTATGTGACTTATCTATCAAGATTCTTTTTCACAACTTTTTGGGTAAATTGTTTTATTTATTGTATGCTAATGACTAGTGATGAATAGTAGATATACTGAAGAGTCATCATACTATTTGTGAGGACTAATATGATGCAGTATGCCATTCTTGAATCTTTGTGTGCACTTTAAAACTAAGCCTGACTATATCTTATACAGTGAGTTCTGCTATAACGCGTGTTTTGACAACGCGAATTGGCTCTAACGCGATTTATGAATAGAGGAACGATATTTGTATAACGCGAACGCTTGTTTGCTGTAACGCGATTTTTGCTCACTATTTCTCCAATTTTGTGGTATTAACTGTGAATATGGTGAAGAAGAATATCTCCAAGAAGCGTTCTGGTGATCGCATTCCCGGTGATGATCGTAAAAGAAAGGTTATAACCCTTGAAGAGAAGCTCGATGTTATCAACCTCAAAATGACCCTTCTCCCCCATCAAGTTATATTCATATTTTTTCAAGGTAAAGTGTTACATTTACTGTATGATTTCATTATTAGATATGAATGTAACATTTATTTAGACTGTGCTATCCTTTGTGTTAGGCTAACTACTAAATTTTTTTCGATTTCGAGTAGTAATCTGCACCTAACCCTATTTTCTCCATAAGTCCTGTTATTTCTATTACGCGAATTTCTATAACACGATGTTTTACAAGAACACAACTATCGCGTTATATCAGAACTGACTGTACTCATAAAATTGTGCATAAATGAGTTTGTAAATGCAAAGTATCTACTCTATTGTTATTAGTAACAACATAGTCATAGCTAGTCATCATTCCAGGAGCCTCAAATACAGTACAGTAAGTCCTCGCTTAACGTCGGGGTTACGTTCTTAAAAATGCAACATTATACGAAACAAAGTTAAGCGGATCAATTTTCCCCATAAGAAATAGATAAAATACGGGAGTTGCGTTGCTGAGCCTCCCTTTGACCCATGAAATACATTACATTTACAGAAAATCATTGCCATTTCTATAGAAAATAGTGAATACATATACAACTACTTAGTTTGTATTGGTACTCACCGATGGGCGGAGGTGGTAGAGCAAATGTGTGGTGGGTGGTGAAGCAGAGGAGGCGGAGGGGAGGAGGAGTGTGGTGAGTCACTGAGACTCTGCGCCAAGCCGAGAGAGCATAGCACGGCCAGAAGAGAGAGGTGATGCAAAGCACTGTAAAATGTAGTCCTTGACGACGCAAAACAACCTAGTATCGAATCACCGGGACGTTAAACGAATTTTTGGTCTCTAAAGTTTAGCAACGTAGTACCAAAACAACGTTAAGCGCGGACTTACTGTACTGTACAGTACTGTACCCATCAAGTCTATATCTTATATTTCTTTGCAGGGCCAAGCCAACACCAGCTCTCTTGTGAAAATTGAACGAGCGTCCACTGGGGATGAAGGCCCCTATAAGTGCCACTACTGTAGTAAGGTTTGCCAGAAGAAAGAAAACTTAAATCGACACATGCGTACCCACACCAAGGAGCCCTATGTCTGTTCTGAGTGTGACTTCACCAGCAATAGCTACAAATCTTTTCTTGATCACAAGAAAGTTGAGCACACAAAGATTCACAAATGTTCTTTCTGTACCTTTACCAGCCAACGCCATGACAACGTCAAGCGCCACATGTTGGGTCACACCGGCGAGAAGCCCCACAAATGTCCGCATTGTGATTTCAGGGCAAAACGCCACCAGTACCTTCATAAACATATTAAAAATATTCACAAAAAGAAGTAAGTCCATTTTTGTGGATATGGAGAAGGATTGGGATTATTAGGAGTAGGTTCTGTGAACTGTTCTTGTACCCAATCCTCACTTTAGTTTGAATCTTCAAACAACAGTGAAGAACTTATATCATACAACTGCCTAGACACTTATTGACACTGATAGTCATTAAGGGTGACAGATGTCATTTGCAAGTTCACTCACCATATTTTCTTAATAAAGACTTTAGTCTTTGTATATTGTACTAGGGACAAGATAACCAAGAGCTGTCACATCAATTACTTATTGTGACAGAAGATTCCCTCAGTGCAAAGCAAAGGTAAAATTACATTGCTGTTTGTTATCAATGAATTGCAGGTTTTACTATTATTTTTTGTTAAAATTTTTCTCCTTTAGTACAATACAATCTACAGGAATTTAAATAACTCATTACTGCTAGAATTAGAACTGCAGTGAGTCAAAAGTGTATTTAAGTGAGGAAGATACAAACAGGTATGAATATTTCCTGTACAGTGTTTTGTGTATTCAGAAGCAAGGCTCTTACATTCTCAATACTGTGCTGAGAGACATGCAGTAGGAATTTGGGTATTATAGTTTTCAAAGTGAACTTATTTTGTTTTGTTAATTTGTGGATGACTGTTGAGTGTGTGTTAGACTGAGTCATAACATATTTATTCAGTTGATTCATGGCATGTATTAAATATTTAATTTCATTTATGTTAAACCAAGTTACTAAGCATGTATGATGACCTTGCGAGCCATTATACTGTACTGGGTAATAAAGGAATCAGTGTTAATAAGTAACATGGTCAGTTGTGTATTTCCTCTTATTACAGAGGTGCTAAATTTGATGGAGTTAGAATAATGGCAACAGTTGTACCATTTTTTGATAGTTGGAAATTTCATTAGTAGATTCTGAGTTCATGATGTGTAAGACCAAAGTGATTAGGCTATAGTAAAGCACAAGAGAGTACAAAGGCCATTTTTAGGTAGTTGTTATAGATGAAAATGAACAAATATTGGCAGCCATGTGCTCAGCTGACTAAAGATTTTTTATTGGGAAAAAATGGATTTTCATACAAATATTACTACTGTACTGTACCCCAAATTGTATCCCCACCAGGTATATATCAAGTTGATCTTATTGGTTGTTGGAGAACTTTTAAAATTAACAGCAACAACAATATAGATAAGACAGGGCTGTGGCAATAACTCAGCCAGTAGAGCTAAATGACATGGGTTATTCATAAGGGTTATTCATAATTATCCTTTTTTTATTGATCCATTTTATAAGTTTACAGATCAAAAAATCAGAGCCAGGATTGCAAGGAATACTATTTTTTTATCATATTCAGTTAGAAGTGAGTGAAGCAATACTGCCAAGCAGACTAATATGTGATTGTAAAAAGCACCTGCCTGTACTGCCCACCTTTGTTATTATCCATCACGATCCTCATAATTTTCATGGCTTACCCTGGGGCCAAATAACCAGTCCTGTACTGTAGAGTATTGTGTTTTACAATGAATAATTCCCAGATTGGGGAGCAAATATAAAGTTACAGTAAACAGTTCCTTTGTTAGTGCACACTGCAGATTGTGCTATAAATTTCCAGGAGTATTTTGCCCCATGTTTATTTGCCTCCAAGTGTCAGCAGCAGGGTTTTAAAAGGACATTGTTGATACTTTGATATATATATATACAATATATTATTGTGAAAAGTATAAGGATCGTGTGTGGATGAGAGGTCTTGTGTTTCTTCCTTGTGTCACTGATGGGATCTTGTTTGAATGCCTACAGAAATTAATACTTTTTGCGTAGGCAGTATTTTTTATTTGTGTAGGTACAGTAGCTAAAACAACCATCTGTGCAGGTGGGGGTCGATATGCTCCGAAATTTTGTGTGACTAGTGACAGCCCTCATATACCAAAATTTATTGTCCATGGTCTCATATTGTTTCCCGCAAAGTATGCACAAATAGTTGTTTTAGCTACTGTACGTAAGTATATATTTTCCTTTCATCTCTTTAACTGAATTAGAATTTAAAGTACTATATATTAACCCAAATGCTGCCAAAGGTGATTTAATGTGTTTAGTGCTCATTAAACAAAAAATAAATAATTCGGAAATATTGACCAATTAAATTGCGGAGATGATGCTAGAGTTTTGGTTTTCAGTCTAAACACGAGTATTGAGCATATTGAATGCAGTTGCATAGCACCTTTACTGGGAGTCTTTCAAGATAGAATATAAGCATCACTAATGTTGTTTGATATTCAGGGAAATGAACTCCTCGTGTATTTATCTTTGGTGCCATCCATGCATATTCAGGTACTGTACATTATTACACCAACGCCTCAGATCTTAAGATTCCGTTTATTGTAGTCTTGATTATAGAGAGTTCCTTAAGTTAGATGACTCTTCTGTGTTACATTCTTTACTTGGAGACCATGTAATATAAACTTAAATGTAATGTTGATTCATAAAGTTATTATCATTTGCTTATGAATTATCAACCCAGTATTGGAGTTGAGGATTGCTACCTCACCACTAACAGTCCACTACTACAGCACCAGTTGGTAATCTTCCACAGCATACTTTAACGTTTTGATCCTTCCATTTCTGTTTTCATCACCTTTTTCCTTTCCGTAGTTGTTGGTGACTCAGGCTTTCATTTTTCTCCTCTAAGTAGCCTGTCTCTTGTATCCTCTACTGTGAATCCTCTCCATTTTATGTTTTTCTGTTGTACATCTTTTTGTGTTTGTTGTGGTCATTCTCTCCTGTCCATCTGACAAATATTCTTTGTTTTCTCTTTTTTTCCTGATAACCTTGTTCCTCTTACCTACTGTAGTATGACTCAATAGACATAAAGTCTCATTTTAAGAAATGTCTTTAGTACCTTTAGTGAAGACCGTACACTACAGTATTTGGGTCCTTACCATGAATTCCTGATAATCTAATTAGTTTCTCTTTATAAGTGAAATGAAAAAAAAAATGGATAGAAACAATAATATCTATAAATCAAAAGAAACAGTAACTAATAAGAGTAAGGAACTGCAACATGATTAGAAGAGAATAACTAAGAGTATTCCCCTGAGTAATGCTTCATTATACAGTACACCCTATGTACAGTACGGGTAATTGACTGAGGATTATATGGCAGTTTGCATTTATAGGAATTGAAATATGTGATTAAGATTGCTAGACTAAAATCCTTAGAATATAGTATTTCCAAATTTCCCAGAGAAAAGCATTGAATAAGCAGTTGAGGAAATCATCAAATATGGAAACAAAAATTTATTTTGATATAAAAGTTGTGATTGTGAGGCAGATCTTTTATAAAGGAATACATATGGAAAATAAATGTACTTTCCCTGGATGAATGAGGCGAACTGGTACACTGCTGACAAATGTGATTTTCCTTAACTCACAATACTGTATAATACCTGTACTCTTGGATGCTGTCACCATACTCCCAAGCCACTCAACTCTTGGCCTTCACAAGATTGCTCTTTTCATATGTCTGCATTTTGGAGTGTGTAAAAGTATGATTCTGTACTGTCTTTCTTTTTCTTAATTTGGTTTCTGATCAACATTTGTTCTACACATTTTACCTTGGACAAACTATACAGTACAGTACTCAGGGGTTGCCTATAGGGGTGCATAGAGACCTCTTGATTAATAGGTCAACAGTCAAAACTGCTGTGGGTATATTTTATCATTTATGGTCATCTTGTTATGCCTGTGACCATTAGTCAGTTTAGTTAGAGGTAATGCAATTCTGTTATCTCCTGTAATCAAGATTTAAGTAAAATGGGTCCTAAAAAGAGAGGTAGATCTTTTATGCTGAAGATCAGTACTATTACTTGTTATATAAATGTATCCTATTATTTAGTTTGTTATCTGAAATTTTATTTGAAAAATAAGATTATTTTCTTAATTTTTTCTTAAGTAGCACTTCATATGAGATGCACCATTTACATGTTTGTAAGCTACTGTTAGTGAAGCAACAGATATTGGTTCACCAACTTTGTTTTATTGACTGAGTAACATATTTGTTAAATACATTTATTTTTTGATTATGAGAATTGTAATAGTAATGTGATATTTCCTTTCTATTTTTTAACACAATTTTTCCATGACAGGTAACTAAGCAATATAGAAGCACTTATACTTAAAGAAGGATTAAAATTTTTCCTCATACTATATAACAGGGATCACCAGAGAAAACCATTTACAAGTGGCAGCATCTGATAAAGTGTATTGTGATTGTGTAAATATAATTTCACATTCATTCCCCTGTTTATTACTTGGTAATCCAGCATAGCCATTGAAACTGTACTGGGGAAACACTGGTGTATGTAAAATTAAGCATCATTTGTAATCACCAATGAATCTGCAAAATACTGAGACAAAAAATTTTCAAAATTGTTTTGAACTGTAAAGCATGGCGGACAAAGCTTTTTACCGTGGTGCTAAAAATTCAAGTGTGGCTGGCTCACACACTTCAGCCCTTCATGGTGATTCCTGTGTAAGGTCTGACTTTCTTTCTGTGCTGTATTAAGAGTTTGAGAATTTGTCTCAATGTACAAAACTTATCTGTATAAACTTATGTGTATTCACCAACTTATACATAGTGATTCGTGTTCTTATTTGCTTTTATATGTGAAAATAATCAGTTTAACAATAATGAGAAAAACATTGGGAAAATTCTGCTCTCAGGGCAGTTTGAAATACATCACTTAGGATTAGGTTGTAGTTTCATAAGTATATTAATGGTCAGTAGTTGTATTAAAAGATACAGCAGTTATGAAAGACAATAAAACACGATATTACTTTGGTTGTGACTGAGTTTGAATTTTCACTATGGATACTTGGACCCAGTTCAGTAGTAAAGTTCCTTTAAATGCTTTTTGTTGTTATTTTTGTAGCTTCATTTTTATTCCAAAAAATTTTTAGTTGTAAGAGGGAATAATTATTTGTTACTTCATTGTTTGAAAACATTTATATCTGTTTATCTATATATCTATATTTTCTAGGCCTTTTAATCTACAGCAAATAGCACATTAATCAACCAAGAGTTTCTTTATTATTTTCTCTTTAATGTCTATAACTTCTGTGTGTTGTGTGGCCATCTAGCAGAGCTGCACCTGAAGTGTTCCCAACATTGTGTTGTGTGGCCTTCTAGCAGAGCTGCACCTGAAGTGTTCCCAACAGTGTGTTGTGTGGCCTTCTAGCAGAGCTGCACCTGAAGTGTTCCCAACAGTTTGTGTGGCCTTCTAGTAGAGCTGCACTTGAAGTGTTCCCAACAGTGTGTTGTGTGGCCTTCTAGCAGAGCTGCACCTGAAGTGTTCCCAACAGTGTGTTGTGTGGCCTTCTAGCAGAGCTGCACCTGAAGTGTTCCCAACAGTTTCTGTGGCCTTCTAGCAGAGCTGCAAGTGTTCCCAACAGTGTGTTGTGTGGCCTTCTAGCAGAGCTGCACCTGAAGTGTTCCCAACAGTTTGTGTAGCAGAGCTGCACCTGAAGTGTTCCCAACAGTTTGTGTGTGGCCTTCTAGCAGAGCTGCACCTGAAGTGTTCCCAACAGTTTGTGTGTGGCAGAGCTGCTGAAGTGTTCCCAACAGTGTGTTGTGTGGCCTTCTAGCAGAGCTGCACCTGAAGTGTTCCCAACAGTGCAGCAGAGCTGCACCTGAAGTGTTCCCAACAGTGTGTTGTGTGGCCTTCTAGCAGAGCTGCACCTGAAGTGTTCCCAACAGTTTGTGTGGCCTCTAGCAGAGCTGCACCTGAAGTGTTCCCAACAGTGTGTTGTGTGGCCTTCTAGCAGAGCTGCACCTGAAGTGTTCCCCAACAGTGTTGTGTGGCCTTCAGCAGAGCTGCACCTGAAGTGTTCCCAACAGTTTGTGTGGCCATCTAGCAGAGCTGCACCTGAAGTGTTCCCAACAGTGTGTTGTGTGGCCTTCTAGCAGAGCTGCACCAAGTGTTCCCAACAGTGTGTTGTGTGGCCTTCTAGCAGAGCTGCACCTGAAGTGTTCCCCAACAGTGTGTTGTGTGGCCTTCTAGCAGAGCTGCACCTGAAGTGTTCCCAACAGTGTGTTGTGGCCTTCTAGCAGAGCTGCACCTGAAGTGTTCCCAACAGTGTGTTGTGTGGCCTTCTAGCAGAGCTGCACCTGAAGTGTTCCCAACAGTGTGTTGTGTGGCCTTCTAGCAGAGCTGCACCTGAAGTGTTCCCAACAGTGTGTTGTGTGGCCTTCTAGCAGAGCTGCACCTGAAGTGTTCCCAACAGTGTGTTGTGTGGCCTTCTAGCAGAGCTGCACCTGAAGTGTTCCCAACAGTGTGTTGTGTGGCCTTCTAGCAGAGCTGCACCTTAAGTTTACTCAACAGTGGTGGAGACACGACAAATATACAGAGGGTTATATAGAAATTTATACTTAAACTGTGTATATTAATGTATGAAATTATTTCATTCATATTCTATTCAATTTATATTATTTTACTTTCTGTTTTGTCTATGTACAGTTATGTACAGTCAAGTGCCGAGTGATGTTCTGTATCCTCTTTCTGAGGAGTCAATCTTGTATTTAGGAATATTTTCCTAAAATTTCTCTTTGGAAGTAGGAGCCGTAGTGTTTCATTGTCACATGAATATTCTTTGGTTTTCTGTTGTAATGCACTTGGTAAAGAACAGTAGATTTTAAGTTAGGACATAAGATGCTTTTTACAGGAATGTTCATTTATTATTATCACTGCATTGTTTGGCATTCATTTCATTGTTCACTCCATGAGCTGTATAGTCTACTAATAACCAATATATTCATAAAATTTTGCCTCATAGAGAAAATGCTGGAGTTGAGCCGTACATATATTCAGTGGGGTACTGTACTGTCAAGCAATGCACTGAAAACACAACTTTTTTACTTAAGATTGTTAAAAAATTTCTTGAATGTGGAAATATATTTTGTGTTTGTTCTCCAAACAGATTAAAAGTTTGCTTGAGTACAGAAAACCGTCTTTGTTTGTACTTAATATGGAAAAAAATTGAGAAGGGAAATAAGTTTCCTTTGGTACTCAAGATAGTTTACAAATTTGTCTCAAATATAAATTAGCATTTATCACAGATTACGAAAGTGCATTATTACGTTTTATTGAAGTGCATTGAATGGTCAGTACAGGTATAGCATTGTCTGTATATTGTTTCCTTACATTCAGTGTGTCAATTTTGTTGAGGTACTGACTGTTTCTGCATTTCATATTTGCGTTCATTATAGAATTGTGCAGTCTATTAGTTTTGAGTTTAAACGATTTGATAGGGGATTGTGTGAAACTTTTTTTTTTCAGTGTAATAAATATTAATACGTAGTGGATATGGTGTTGCTTTATTAACACATTATTTCCATCAGGGTTAAAGAGAACAAATTGAGGGAGAGTTATTGTTTGTAGCACAGTACAGGGGGGTCCCCAGGTCAAGAACGGCTTCCATTCCCGAGGACGTTCATAAGTCGAAACACATGCTATGTGCATACCATACTTATAGAGCAATGTTTAAAATTCCTCTATATCATAGCCTAAGTCCTTATATACATCGAAAATCACTTAATTTAATGAAAGTAAAAAATAAGTCATCAGGTAAATAAAATACTGTAAATTTAAAGTTTAACCTCACTCTTATCAGCGGGCATTTGTAAGTCGGACGTTCATAAGTCGGGAGCCCTCGGTACATGATTCTGGGTGTCTTGCATAATAGTGGGAAACAAAGATTGCAAGCACAGAATTGTGTGCTTTAAATAAAATACATTTCCTCCAATAAAGTATTTGAGCAACTATTTCCATCACTTGAAGATTAACCCCCAGCTTATTTCACTTGAAGATTAAACACCCTAATCCTACCTTGAGAAGGGGAGTTGGAGTTAGGGTTAGGTTATCATAGGTTAAACACAGAGCGGTCAACCTAAAGGTGAAGTAAGCTGGGAGTGCTCATATTCAAGTGATCCAACTATTTTTGTACTAACTTTATGTGGCCAACATTGCATTTCATATAAAGAGGCATTGATACAGAGCCTCAGATGTCATTTCTTCCATGTGATTTAGTGCAACAAGTTCCCAGAGACTTTATTTATAGTTTACGGGTCACCACTTTTAATCTTATTTGGCTAATGACAGACGACTTTATTCAGCACAGGAGACCCTGTACACAAGGAGTTAACTGGGAGTGTGTATCTAATTGGTCCATAAACTATGATATGAAGATAATGGTCAATATGAGGGTAAGACTGTACTGTACAGTATACCTAACTGTACTTATCCTAAAATTAATGGTGCTCATGATGGCACACATCTTCAAATTACTAATCCCCTATGGTTCATCCCTATTGTTTACTACATTTCACCTTCCTAATCCCAAAAACATTAATTGGCTAATCTCACAATTTACTTGTTAATTTCTTAAATTTCTCTTTTGCTAATCCTCAGCTGTTCACCATATTTATTATACAGACATTACATATTATCTTAATAATCTCTTACATTTCACCTCACTAATCCCTTAAATTTGAACCCACTTATCTCTTAAATTTTACTTTACTAATTTCTTGAATTCCAAATTGCAAATCCCTTACTGTTCTCCCCCTTTAGCAGGATTTATCTAGCTTATTTCCACCGATGATTTAACCAATATTGGAAATATAATTAAGAATGACATCGAATAGAATCAAACTAAAGACAACAAACTAAATTTTTATATGTAAATTGACATAATATTACACACAAGGGTACATATATTTTAATAAATGACGGTGGCTTTGGCACAGTAGCTACTATAACCTCTTCACAACGGGCCATCACATATAATATTTAATTTGGTTAACGGCAGATGATTTTATTGAGGACAGAGAGCCATTCATACTCTAAAGGTTAATAAACTATCTCAACTAATGTATTTTACCCTTAAGGCCGATAGAGTTCATACAAAGTGGATGATTTTGTTTGCCATATAGTATTACTGTATTAGTAGTAAGAGCGACTGCATATCATTTAACAACTTTTTTTTATAATATTTAATAATGATGGAGATCTTATTAAATTAATTTTGTGTACATAATTCCTAAGTGAGTCTATATTCCTTTTATGTCAGGATGCTTGGCGTTGACTTGTGCGTTAGCTTCCTTTGTCTTTTCCCCAAAATTAGTTTAACGATTACTAACGACTATATTTATGAATATTATTATTTTAGATGTATTTTATATAGCCAGGATATTAATATAAATATATATTAGGAAGACTAACACATTTAGAATCATCAATCGGACAAAGCTATTTGGCATTCTTCGTAAATAAAGCAAACTAAACTACACACTCTTAATAGTAATAGATTAGATTCATTAATAGGAATATTTTCACCATAAACTATAACAATATAGTAAGATAATTATTATTAAATATTTATTGATATATTTTTATTAACTATATTTGTTTTGTTTGAGTGTAATAGGAAGAATAATGTTAGTTGAAGGTGTGTTGCTGGGAGAACATGTCGTCACCGTCTGGTAGTGTAAGCGACGCAACAAACGCGTTAGTTAATCAATGCAATGATGGCGAATCCTTATGGTATTTTTCCCACTATGCCAACAAATAGTAGTGCCACGCTACTATGTGCACAATGCAAAAAGTTCTTCACATACATGGACAGTGTTGTAATGTGTGACGGCGCGTGTAAAAGATGGTATCACACTAAATGTGCCAAGATCCCAGAGACCAAGTACCGCGTCATCCAGGACAAGGACGACAACAGGACCCTGGGCCTTAAGTGTGTGTGGTCGTGTAAGGACTGTAGGGAACGACCTGAAGTAGGAAGAGACCCTGAGTTTGAGTCTTATGTCAGGGAGAAGCTCGGTAAACTAGGCCAAGTTCTTGAGTATCTAGTGACCAAAATCCAGGATATTGAGAACAGACAGAAGAGTCAAGAAGTGGAGTTTAATAAGGTATTATAGTGATTATTTTATTCGGTTGTGGCTTATAACACATGTTTTATGAATCAAGGCCAGAACAGCAAGGTGATTATAATAAATGAATTGAATCCAAGCTTACAAGGTGACCCATGTGTGGTACGCAAACTCCTCGTTAAGTCTTGACGTAATTATGTAGTTTGGTGCACATCATAACTAATAGTTTGAGGATTTTTATGATAGTGTAAGGAAACTTGTGGCATATAATTATGAATGTAATGAATTTTTCTATGGAAGAAAAGTGGTCATAATATATACTGTATTTTACCATTCTTGCATAATTAAATCTAGTAATTTAAAGACTTTTATTATGTAGGAGTAAGATGATTCTTATCTTGAGATTGGCTTGTACCAACATCAGGAATTGTAATTTACATATTTCTGTTTTTCATTGTTTTCTTGCAGAGAAATTTGTATTTAACATTTTATAACAGGTAAAGATGCCATTCAAAACCAGTATTACTTACTTAACCTAATTTAACTTAGCTAAAATGCAATCTAAAATTTGTTGGGTCAGGTTAGGTAACTTAAAGTTAGGTTAGGTTGGTTCAGATCTTAACACCACTGTCTGACCACCTAATTGAGTCTGTTTGAATAAAAGCAACTCATACTAATGAATTTAAGCAGATGACTGTTTATTTTATGATTGGATAACTACTGTTGTTACTATATAGCTATAGCGACCTGTGGTGTAATGGTCAGCATCCTCGCCTCCAAGCGAGTGGTCCCGGTTCAATCGGGCAGGGTTGAAACTATGGAGTTTCTTTCGCCATTTGCCTCTGTCTACCCAGCAGTAATTGGGAACCTGGATGTTAATCGATTTGCAGATCGTATTCGGGTAATGGTTAGCCAATGCAGTTGGCAAGCTGTCCAGTCTTCGGACTATTCCGTGACACTGTGTCATGCAGCTCGTTAACTTAGGGTGTGGTTGTTGTGTTGGCGACAGCTTCTACACCTTAACAAATTCACGCCTAGGAGGCCCTTGGGCCGGCCATCCTCAATTTCGAGGGGCTTCCATTATGTTGAAATATATATTTAGTGCAGAATATGGAAAATAAATTAACTGTCTATTCACTTAAATAATTATTTTGAAGATTAAGGTAGATGGTGATTATTGGCAACACTGCTTGAACAACAAGTTTAATGGTAGCGATGGATGGATTTATACAGGTACCGGTAATTGTCATTAACAAAAAAGAAAATGAAATACATTCCTGATATTTATACAGCATAGCCAATTCTTGAGGTTAGAAATAACTATTTGCTGCAAAGAAACCTCTTAAGTTAACTCATTTAGGTATACAAGAAAGATTAAATATTACCCAATTAAAATATAGCTTGATGCTCTATAATTTTTTTTTCATCTTATCATACTGGCTTATACCTCCTCCTGTGCAAATAAGGAGTGCTGGGACAACAGTTTACCTGAACCAGCCTAAGTGCCTAAGTTAATTTAGTTTGATTTAACTGAACTTTCATCAATGGTTTAAAACCGTAGTGATTGTAAGCATTGGTGATACTCATATTTGCATGTATGTTTAGCTTAAATCTAAACAACTTGTAAATTCCACTGTCATCTGTTTGCCACCGGATTTTGATTAAAAACACTAAAGTTTTCCTGGAATATTTCCTGTCAAAATTGAAATTAGCTATAAAGTGTTTGTCCTCCTTTCTGCAGTACGGTATTACATGTAATAAAATTTTCACGCTCAAATTTGACTCACTGATAGACTATAAATTTGTCTTAAGTCACGTATATGCCAGAGTAACCTTTTGTGTGGAGTGGCAATGATCCTTGACAAGCTCACTATCAAGTTGAACTCTGAGGCTTTTCCCTATGGTACAACTCCAGTAGGCTACACTTGTGTATGAAAAGGCCACTATAACCAGAACATAAGTGGTATGGTACTGGCAGATTGGTAATGAATAGGTTTAGCTGTACAGTATCTTGTCCAATGAGAGGGTGATGATGGTCATGGCAGCTGTGAAATTACAAGCCAAGAATAAGTCAGAACTGGTCAAGTCACACACAGTGCTGATGATAAGATTCATAAAACATGTGCAGTATGTATAACAATATATTTGTGAATTTTTATGCTCATGTTCATTTTCTGTCTTTGGAAAGAAGTACTTAGCTAGATGTTTTGCCATGAACCAGCTATCAACTGAAAGAGAATTTTGTAATAAGCACTCTTATTTATGTGTACTGCACTGTACAGTATTTTATTAAATTGGCCGAGCCAATAGGTTCAGTTTAGCTCCATGGTCTAACTTCCTTTTATTTTTCCATGGAATCTTTACCACTATCTTTGTTTTAATGCATGGAAAGCATATACTATATCAAGTAGGGAAGCAAGGTAATGATGAGTTTGAAAACCACTTTTAAAATATTCACAAGAACCAGCTGAACCTAAGCAACCTTACTCTTATGGGTTAAGTTTAGTTGGTGCTTGTGGTCGTCTTCATAAGTGTTTGTTGAATTACTGTATTATTTCTTTATCTCCAGCCAGAATTACTTTCTATCCATTAAAACAAACACGAGTGGTTACTGTGTCAAGAAGTAACAAGACAGGCTTATGGAGTTAAATTAAATCTTCAAGTGTTTGATACCATAACTGTCCATTAACTGGTCTGAGTAGTAACTGATGTAGAGTATAAGTATAATTGTTTAGAAGAAAATTATTGATACCGGTACTGCTTCATAAGAGAAACTGACTGATTGGTTGAGATGTAACTATCACTATGCAAAGTCATAGTTGAATGTAAGCTCCAGATTTTAAATTGCTGATTTGCTTGTGTAATGTAATTTGTTAAGATTAAATTTAGGGGTGCCAATTTATTTTTTGAATTTTGAGTTGAAGTTTTGAAAGTGAAACATGAGAACAAAGAGAAGTTGAGTTTTAGAATACTATACAGGTATATAAATATAGTGGTGGGACATCATTGGAATTACGGTACATGCCTGCCAATGAAACTGGCTTCAGTTTTTCAAGTGGAGTTTTTTATCAATATTTCTGACATTATAGACTACTGAGAGCCATCTTGACCACCTGGAAGCAGTTGCAGTCAATTTGATCACTGTAGTAACAAAGTCAATCATAACATCTTTGGAGATATTTCTGAAATTTTCCTTCACTCTACATAAATAGTGGTACGTATAACTTTGTAAAAGACGGGACCTTTTTATCTAAGTATGTACCTCTTTGCTAATGTTAATAGCTAATAATAATATAGCTATATATATTCTCATTTACCAATACACAGTAGGGAAAGAGTATGGTATAGCCAACTTTCTTATCTTCAGTGTCAAAGCTTCTACAGAGTGACCATCACACATGATATCATTCTTTTTTGCCCTTTAGTCTAAAACACGAACCACTCCTGGATACTATACTGTACTACAGTATATCAAGGCTCACATAAGTCTCAGGTCACCTTTACAAATGCCTGATCAATAGATTCTCATTTCTGTATTTCTATGAAAGCCAACTGCTGTACAGTACAGGTTGAACCTCCCTAATCCGGCACCCTTTGGACCTGACCGGTGCCGGACTATAGAATTTTCCGAACCACAGGTGGTCTTTGTAAAATACATAGTACTATTGTTGTCACACAGTTTTAATGTAAATGATATAAGTAAATATGCATGCAAAGGGATAAAGAAATATGAAAATGAAATACCGATACAGGTAATGTATTTCAACTAAATCACTGTTTTTCCCCTCCTTCAGTGTTTTACGCATATCCATATACTTCTTAGTGTCAGATTCACTGTAAAACTTAAGGATTTGAAGTTTTTGTTTCTTGACATCATACACTGTACTGTAGATGTTCCAACACTGTACATTTCACATAACTCACCGACCAATACGCCACTGTTCAGTTTCTTCAACAGTTCCATCTTCTGTTGTATTGATATAGATACTACGTGTTTGTGGCGTTTGGAAGCATTTCCTGCACCAGTATCACCTGCTGGTCGCTTAGGAGGCATATTAAGGTTAAATAACAAGTGAAATATTACAGAAACACTTGAAATACCGAGGAACGCACCAAACTCTACGAGGACCAGATGTAAACGAAGGCTATGCCGAACAACAGATGCTAGCTCCGGTGGGTACTAGCGGCTGTCCGGCAAACTAAAATTTTGCCGGACAATAGAGTACCGGATTGGGGTGGTTCAACCTGTATTATATTGTTGATTCTTTACATCAGTGGCTGAAACTAACATCATTGAATATTAATTGCATATGCAACATGGATGATACAGTACGTTAGTGTTGAATACTGTATCAACATTAATGAGAAAATTATACAAACTGTGTTAAGTCATACATAGGCTTCTAAAATGGCAAATACAGTAATGAGTTTTAAAGGTATTATGTCGCTGTAATATGCTCCACAAATACCTTCAAAATGTTTCACCAATGCTGTATGTATCATAATGCCATGCACATGATTATATACTCAGTGAAAATATCCAAACATTTGAAGATTGAATGTGGGGATGAAAGAGGGGCTGTGGTTACATGACAGTGTTTGCCTGTGTATTTTATGTTTCCTCACATTGATCGGTTGTGTCCTGTTAATTTAACCCCTGGTAGAGCACCAGCCTCTGGATTAGATCGAGGTTGAAGGATTGTGACAGATGGCATTCAGTTGAACCATAATAGGAGTGGAGAACAAAGAATTCCACTTAGAGAGTCACCGGATTGGGAAAAATAAGAGGTGTATTGTACTCGGAAAAATATTACAGTGCCACCCAAGTACAGTGTATAAAAGGTGTGTTTTGCTCTGGGTTAACCTTGACAGTTGAGCTTATTGACTGCTTGAAGAAACATAACATAAGGTGTGTGAAGATTCCTGTTGGGGGTTTGACAGAATATACCAGTAACTGCTGGGTGTTGGTTGTAGAAATATAGGATAGTCATTTTATGAGTCTTCATGTCTTCAAAGAACATTTGAGGGTCTAGGAGCATATGTACTTCTTGTTTTGAATTGTTTATCTGTTAGACTATAAACTTTTCTTGTAAACACAACTCTTCCCGTAGTGTTTGATTGGGTGATTTGAAACCTTGTAGACATAATCATTATCATCAGAACTTGCATGCAATTTTTTTTTTATTAAAATTTTAGATACTGTACTAGATATTTGGTCCTTACTATTATTAGAATAATATCTATTATATAAAATTAATTCAGGGATCTTCTTGTTGTGTTTGTAAGTTGTGCTTATCAGCCTCCTAAACACTGCTGTAACTTGTCCAGCTGCTTGATGCACCAGGACCTCCTTCAGCATCTCCTCTGCTTCCACAAATACTCATGGTATCGATGCAATTTGTATCAGCAGTGTTGTCAGTGGTGATGACTTGTCTGGCCACAGTTGATGGATATTGAGGCTGCTTGTTAACTTTCATCCTTCTATTAGCTGTGGGCCCAGATTCACTAACGGTTTACGAACATCGTAAGTGCTTTAAAAGTTCATAAATTCCTGTGGTGGTGATTCACCAAACACACACAGCTGCTAGACGTACTTCACACATCATTACAGATAGAATTTTGATTGAATTTGAGGACGGTGGTTAACCTGTGACCAAAACAATTACACACACACACACACACACACACACACACACACACACACAGAGAGAGACTTTTGTTTCAATAAGTAGGTACTATACAAGAAAATAATGTAATAATTTTTTTTTTTTTTCCTTCTTCCCCTCCTACTATACTTATGTTCATGTTAAGGAATTACAACATAAAAAAATATGCAGTTTACATTAGCAGATAATTGATAAAGGAAATACTGTAACTACCCTGAGATTCTCATTACTGTACTACATGACTAAAATAACAGTTGCAAGGTGTGCACAAGAAAATACAGTACGTATAAAAATCCTCAAAATACAGGTAGACAATAATTGCTACATATTTAAATTGTATGTAGTACAAGGAGATAAAACAAACCTATGCCGAGGGCATCTACTCAGCTCCCCATGCCCTACTGATGTATCAAGTTCTTGTAAGGCAGTTACTGCTACATCCTGCACAGAATCTACCCTAACCTAAATTAACATTGAATTTATATGGTAATTCTTCCCGGTGCAGTTGTACCAATGCGTCGATTTCTTCGCACTCAACTAGCTGACCTAACCTTCCATCTCCGAGGCTACAATTGGAAAATAAATTACGCTTCTAAAATAAACATCCCTGAATAGCAACATCACTAATTTAACCAGTCATTGCTTCTTCTGTTGCAGTCAGGGGTGGTACACAGCTTGGTCCTCCTAACAAGTAAAAACAGATTTTAATATATTATTTGGTAAAGTATACCAATAGTAAACAATTGTTAATCTGAGTATATGTGTTATCACAAAGCACTGTTACCTATATATACATGATTAAAGTTACAAAGTGTATCAAGACTGTCATGACAGCCTTGTAAACTAAGATGATTGAAAGCCAAGGTAAGGTTAGGAAAGGCTGCCAAGGTTTAAACCACAGATATGAGAGTAACCTTTATGTTATATCTAATCAGGAGTAGTTACCTTTATCTAACAACCTAAGTTCTTGCTCATCTAAGGCTTTTATGGTATAATACAGTAGGTTAGGTTTGGTAACCATGAGATTTCCTGATTTGCTTACAGTAATGACTTTAGAAAATGCTAAGAAACAAGTATTTATAACCCTAGCAGTGTAATGCGATACAACATAAGGGATATTTGATCAATGTTTTAGTAGAGTACAGCAGATAATGTTTTGTTACTTCCAATAACCAACAATATTGGTTGTTCTAAGTGGGCAGGGCTTGAAGAAGGGAAAATATGGGGTAAAATACTATAAAGAGCACAAGAAACCTTTAAAAACCTTACCTAACTTCTAAAAACCCTAAAACTGTGAATGACTTACCTTATTCTTCTTCTTGTTTTTGGCTTTTACTGTGTTGATGTAGTTTTCGTTGTTCAGATAAGGTTTGATGTCAAGATTATCACAAGTGCACCCTGCGGGGTCAAATTTTGTTATGACATGATTGGCTTACATCTCCTATTCACTTATGTATCAGTCCCAGTGATTGGCCAAGCGGAGACACACCACCACCACCTGTCGGCATCTTAAGAACTATTTATAGAGTTCGTACAACCTCCACAGCTCAGTTATGAACCTTTAGTGAATCGCATTTGCAGGAGTTTGTATGGATTTCAGACCTCCCGGAACTTACTAACTTCTTTTCTCAGCAGTGTTAGTGAATCTGGGCCATGGTCTTATGAATACAGTAATGCCATCTGTATCATTACTGTATGATCATGGCTCTTAGTGACCTAAGATGTCTCACAAATCCTCCTAATGACTCCAGGAAACCCACTGGACAACAGGTGCCTAGCTGATTTTATGAATACTACAGTTCTGTACAACCAAAGCCTTACAAGTACAGTACCTACCAACCCATATTGGTGTTATACCAGTATATGTCAAAGAGATACTCCCTATGACCCCAGGTGCTTGTTGTAACACTCGGTGACACACAGGTAACCTACTTCTAATGATCGCAAATGTCTCACAGCTGCTAATGGTGATGTCAGGTGTCTCACAAAATATTCACAGTGATCCTCAGTGTGTGACAGTAGTGTTTGTTAGCTATGCCATGTGCTTCTCAGGTGCTCTTTGATAATGCCATGTTTGTTGTTTGTGCTCAGAATGATGCCATGTTTGTTGTATACTGAATGCTCAAAATAATGCCAGGTTTGATGAATGGACTCAAAATGATGACAAGTTTGTTGTATGTGCTCAAAATTATATCAAGGGCCTTATGGGTGTTTAAATGACTTCAGGCATCACATAAGTATTCATAATGGTGCAAAACTTTCTGTAGGTACTCATAATGATCTCTGGGAACTTGAAGGAACTCATAAAGTTGTTAAGTGACTCAAAGGTGATCATAACCCCAGATGACTCACAGGTGCTCATATTGATGTTAAGTAACTAAAAAATGCTCACATGATGATGCCAAGTGAGTCAGAGTGATGACAGAAGGTTCACCTTATAGACTGGTGTACAGCATGTAAGGCGTTGCTCTTATTTCCATATGAAGAACACGACTACAAAAACTGCCTTCTCTTTTTTGTTTTGTTTTTTTGCTTGGAGATTAAGTGGTGGAAATGGGGGGGGGGGGTAAGGTGTTGTATAAAGTCCCATTGATTTTTCCTTTTCAATGGGTATTGCTATCTGAAGATCTGTGAAAAATTTTTTGAAATTAGTTAAATTTTCGTTGTAAAGAGATGATGAAGTGAGTATTCATTTAAATATATACTGTACTGTTGAAAATGGAGAAAAAGTTTTCTCAAGCTCAGAAAATCATGAACCCACCCACTAACCTGCATGGAAGGCCTCTGTCTGGAGAGGGACATCTACTGCACCACCCATGGCACACATTTTGCATAGTCAAGTAGCCTTTAGCAGTAGTTTACTTTCCAGTCCTACTAGTAGTGCACACCTTGGGGAGGAGGCTACTACATGAAGGGATTTGGCATGTGGGTATTTACCATCACAAGAACAATTTCTTTTTATTAAAGGTTGTTGAAATGTTTTTCCTGTCATGTATGTAACAACATAGAGTAACAATGTATTACCTTGTGCTCAGTCTACACAAACCCACAGTTGTTGATGCTTCTCAAAAAAAAAATTATTTTACAATTTTCATTTCGAAAAGAAAATTTTTCATATGTATTAAGGAATTTGATAGTTTTCAAGGACTCATGGGTTCCCTACTGTGGAAAGTAAACAGGGAAGAAACAGATGTTACATAAGGTGATATTTGGCCATTTCATGGTGTCTGTTAACAACTCTGTGTAACTACAGAATGTTTGCAGCCCCCATGTCGCCTACTGCAACTTTTCCTCATTCTGCTCCCCTTGACATGTTTTACTCCTATGCCTCATTCTGCTCCATGGTCTCATCTTCCTTCCCTTCCCTTTGCTTCATTTTGTCCCTTTTATTTTTTTGGCACTGCCTGTTCATTTTACACTGGCCATTATGTTTGTTTTGTCTCCCATTGTGTATTAAAGCACATGATGTGTTTACTGACAGTGCTGTCTCCCATGTGAAATTTTGGCTCAAAAACTACAGCAATAAAGTCGCACCCCTAACCTGAACCTTTGCTGTAGTGGCACCCCTAAGCTGAACCTCTGCTGTACAATCCATCAGGAGAAACTTGACCTATTTTACACTTGATGAATTCTTGCTGCAGTTTGAAGTAGAAATGTTGACAGTGAAAATAAAACAAGATGTATACAGCCACCACAACATTTATATAGTACACAGCTACTCCTCGACTTACGACCGACTCGACTTACGACCGCCCTGACGTACGACCGCCCCAGTCGTACCAAAAAAAATTTCAAATTACGTATTTTTGAGTCCCGACGTTAGTGATTGCGCTGTGTAATGACGATATTTTCGTTTGTAATTCCCTTTAATATGGCTGGCATGCTTAAAAGTGAGAGTTTTGTGATGCTGAAAAGAAAAAGAGACACCCATTTTAGATTTTCTATGTATTATCTTCGCATTTTCGACTTTTTTGGTTGCTCATTCAAAACAAAGTGGCCACTTCTCTGGTAGAAGTCCCACAGGACAACATTTGTCTGTTGGAGGTTGAGAAAAAAGGCATAGTCTTTAATTTCCTTAGTTAAACAAAGTTTGCAGATTTCCACTTTCAGTTATCTGTATACATTACTATACTGTACTGTACCTTTACCCCAAGTCCTTAACATTTGTCACAAAGCTACTACAGTGTATACTTGCCTGTGGCTTCATTATTCTTAGAGTTATTAAATATTGGAAACTGTTTAATCGCTGTGGATTAAAGTGAAGACCAAGCAATTGGCACCCTTAGTGAAGACATGAATCACCAGTACAAAACAAATAATACTCAAAACTATATTCCAGTGGGGAGAAGATACTTGTATTTAGTAGTTCATTAGTTCCATTACTCTTAAGTCATATAAAGGTGTTGACAGTTTTAACAACAATAGGCAGTAGGGGACAACATGATACAAGAGTGAATTTGGATAAATTTACCATAACTTCAAAATTGGTGCAAGAGCTATGAAAATTTGCAGATGGGATGCCAGAAAAAATAAGATCATGTGTGTGTGTGTGTTTGTGTGCATGCATGCTTGCGTGTATGCTGCACATACTGTATAGTGAAAGCATCCATCACCATCAGTACAGTACAGTCTGAAAACAAGTACGGTATATACTATACTATATATAAAACAATGTAAAAAGACTTCATAAATAGGTCCAAAGAAACTATGATCAGTTCACCAGATGTTGATGAAATACTGAAATATGTTATGTTACTTTTGAAAAAAAAAATGTTAATGGAATGAAATAGAAAAGAGAATAAACATGGAAGCTATACCTATTATAGCTACAATACATATGTGCGATTGTATTGGGGATAGTATAGTAATTATTCCCAGTTGCATTTACTGTAGCTACACTGTATTTGTGTCAGATATTGAAATATTTTTTTCTCAGATATATGTATACTGTATATAAAGTATTCATTTTAAGACGTGTTTGTTGCAAAACTCAAGTTATAGCTGTTGAAATTCCTTTTGCAAACATATGTACTCTTTCTAAGAAATGTCTATTGTGCAGCTCAAGTTAAATTGAAATATTTTTTTCACAAACATTAGATGTACTCTTAGTAGATGTACTCTTAGAAATATTTATTGCAAAGCCCAAGTTATATTTGATCCCTCCCCTCTACATGCAGCACTGGCAGCAACAACAGCAGACTGCAGTTACCCTCCAGGGCGCTACACTGCCCAGCCCAAGAACGACTCACATCTTTCAAGACTATGGAAACCAAGGCCATCACTCAGGACAACAACTCACAGCCAACGCACAGCAACAGACCAGCAAGGAACACATCCCGGGATTCACTCCAATGGAACACAAAATTATTCATGAAGTTAAGTTGAAAATGGACTCTGCAGCTCCCAAGCAGCAAGAGATTGAGGCACATGCAGGCGATGCCCTACACCTAATGAGGCCACTAATTGATCCAATCACAGGCCAGGAGATGGAGGCAACTCAAACACAGGCTAGTGTATAATTATGTTTGCCTCTTGTTCTAAAACTTAATTGTGGCAAAACCCTGAAGGTGAAAACTAGCTAGAGCTACTGGTGGTTTATGTCTGAGTGAAATTGTTGTTTTTCACTGTCTGAGCCTGTTGTATACTGAGACATTGTCATTATATTAAGTGCTAAATGTCAGATGATACATTTATAATAAGCACAGTATTCTGTAATACAAGTAATAAATCCAGGACAATGTACTATTGAAAAAATCTGAATGCATTTTATATTCCTAAATTAATTAGTTATTGTATATCTGGGATGGAGTTCTCAACACAGTAGTAGAGGTACTCAGATGTGCAGCTGAGTGGAGCAATTTTGTAGTTCAATTGTTCTTCTTTTTTTTTATTATTTCTTTTTTAAATATAACCAAAAATAAAGAGATGAGGTGACAGTTTCATTACCAATAATTAACATTTCCAAAAGTATAGGCTAGGTATCCTTACAACGTTTAGTAATAAAAGAAAATTAAAGTTGATTCTCATCACATCGACCAAGATTTTCTTTGGTAAATGGTTTCTTAAATATCCACATTTGCTCTTCATAATAACGTGATGTAAAGCTCTATTACTGAATTCTCTTCTGGAGCCGTTGAACTGATTGACGGGAAAGTTGGCATATGTGATCGATGGGGAGGGGGGTGACTCAGGTTTGTGTAACGAAGATTGTTCTTTAAAAATATGGCAGCCAGGGCCTGGATTATCAAAGGTTTGTACTTAAGTTTTTCCAGATAGTTGGAAATATATCCCCAGAATGTATCTAATCTGTTCACTTATGATACAACACAAAAATTACCTCCAAATGAGTATATATATATATACGTATATATATTATTAGAGAGAGAGAGTTGGCACTGAGACTCTACTGTAACTAGATGCATTCTCTTATTCCCAGCTAGAGGAAAGAAATTTAGCTGACAAATCTTTGAAAATGTGGACCCATGGATCCATTGAAATTGAGCATTTTTTGTACCTCAATTAATTGATGAATTTTAGAGGCAAAATGTAACATACACAAGTTTTCTGGCATGGCGGCCTTAATTATTATATTCATGAATGTATCCCGAGTTTCCCTCACATGAGAAAACAGATTCCTCTATATGAGCAATCTGATTCCTCCAGAGGGACCATGTGTTCTCTTATTTTGCTTGTTTACATTTATTACAATTTGCTTCTTTTTTTACCTCTGACACCACAGCTTTGCTCTCACCATCCTTTTCATATTACTGTACCGTCTCTTTCTTTTTTACCATCCCTCTCTCTATTGTTTTCTGTTTTATTATTATCTTTTTTCATTTTGTAATGCCCTCGATCTCTTCCATATTGTCTTACCTTGGTATTTTATTTTACCTTCACTTATATTAACCACCTAATTTATATCTGCATACAGTATTTTATATACTGTATGTATATTTTGTATCACCTTTTTCTATCTGGTCACATATCTAAGGCAAACTAACTTACACTAACATAACAATTTTGCTTATGTTAATTTTGCATGTTCATCTTTCCAGGCCCAGAAATTCATTTACAATATTGTCCCACAACCACTTTGACCTAAACACCAAAAGTTTTGTAGAGCAACAAGGCCAATATGAGCACAACATCATGGCCACAGAGACCATATCCAAGAAGAAAAACAACTAAGTGCATTGCTAACGCATTTGATCCAAATTAAAAGCCTTAATTATACACTTTTCTTGGCACACCATTGTACTATACTGGACCTGATGATATTATTATATGGTAGCTAATTGAATATGTACACTTGGGTGTTTTGTTTAAGATGAACACTCTTTTTATAAAATATTGGATGATAAAAACTTGCATTACAGTAGCCAAGGTGAAGGCCACTATGGCTGCTGGTGGCCAGGAACACCAGTACTGTACTGTACTGTACTGCATTGGCTGCTGTGAATAATACTCAGATGTATTGTTCTTCACATGACAAATTAGCTCACCACTACAGTACTTATAATGCAGTGATCATTTTGATGTTATTTAGTGTCATCCACACTTGAATATTCCTCACTCTCGATCCTGTACTACACTCTTTATTTATTGATTTTTTTTTATTCATATAAGCCTCATCCTGCTATGATGTTGGGTGGCTGGACAGATGCTGATCTCCTGATGCTTAGCATTCAGCAGCTAGTGGGTTAACTCAGCCCCTAAAAGCAAGATGACAGTCCACCAAAGGGTTGTCCCACCATCGGCAAGCGCACCCAATACTGTACTCATTTATTGCTGTGCACGAGGGCTAGTGTACTATACAAGGAGGGAACCCAATCTTTCACTCTGATTGGGAGTCGAGCCTGTGACTGTGTCTAGTGATAATTTCTCGGTCTTTCATAACTTTTTGTGTTAAACAACCAAACTGTGTTTTCAGTACTGGAAGTTTATGCTTAAAGGAAGTCTATACATGACCTCTCATAATTTATTATTAGGTAAATAAGCAGTTGGTATTAAAACATTGAATTATAATTGATATATGCTATTGCATGCTTAGTTAAATTTTTAGTATTAACTTGTTTAAATTATCTTTGTAGGAAGCTGGTGATGCCCTGTATAACTTCACAGGAAACTTCTCTGGGGCTTCAGCATCAGCACAGGTAACTTAGTACTGTACAGTAGCTGGTGGCACAGCCCATGACTTGTGTACTTTCTACAGAAACAAGTGGTCAGCACAACATGATAGTGTTTATAACTTTTAATAGTGTTCAACATTACAAAATACTGTAGTATTTAACTCTAAAATAGGTTTTAACACTTAGATAGTATTAAACATACTTTAATAGTTTTAGCTTACCAGAATAGTGTTTACCAAACTCTGTAGAACAAATATGCTGCCAAACTGAGCCCTCAAGACCTGAGATTTACTGTACTGTATCTGTATAAAAGAAGAAAACATTACAAACTTCAGGATTTACCACATACTGTATCAGTAAGTTCCAGTTGTCAGAGTGTGTTGTGAAGCAGTTTTGTTACAGTACTGCAAAACTGTATCATCATCATACAGTATTTGTCAGTGGTAATAGCGAACCACTTCTCTTTTAACGCCACTTGTTTAAATGCTTCTTCTCCAAAATTTCCACCTAAAATTTCATCAGTTCTTCATATTTTATCACAGAATCTGGTTCCTTGTGACTTAAAAGACTACTTTTAGCACTCCCGTGAACTCATTGTTTCTTCATTAGGAAAACTACAGTTATATTTTATATATACAGTACTGTACTGTATACTGTGCTGTATAAAAAAAAATTGCTGGAAAAAATCTGACACAAGTCATCGTAAGATCAGCTCAGAACAACATCCCCTTCCCGCAGACTAAAGAAATTGAAAGCCAGATGATTTGCATTGATTGAGGTTATGACAGGAAAAACATTTTGTGGTAGGGAGTTACACACGGTGCTGACCTAGGGTTTAAATGAATTTTGGTAAATAGAGATTCTTCAGAATGGAATTTTAACAGTTTTATTATAATATGCTTTGATATTCAAATATTGCGTTGTAATCATACGGGAGATATATATGAAACACTGTACAGTACAAAGATATATTGGACCTGTGTCTACTTCCAGGGTTACTTAGATCAACTATGCACTTCAAATTCATTCTTTGCAGGGTCAAGCCACGCCAACACCTGCTCTGAAGGAAGCAATGGAATGTCATTACGGTGACTGCAAGTGTATCAAACAAGAAGGCCAGAACGATGAGTCAAATAACCCCCCTAAACCCTGCTCTGGGAAACATTGTAACTGTACCTGTAAAACCCATAAGATTGTCATTGCCCACAAAAAAGACAATGTTGGCAAGATCCATAAATGTCCACATTGTGATTTCACCAGCAAGCGTTCGGACAATGTTCGGCGGCACATGTTGCGGCACACGGGCGAGCGACCCCATAAGTGTCCGCACTGCGATTTTAGTGCAAAGCGACCTCATTCACTGAAAAAACACATCGAAAATGTTCATAACAAAGATCTCAGAACAGATGGAATTGTCAGATAAAAGGTACAACTTTTTAAAGTAAAAAATCACAAAGAATATCTGTATGATGTAGACTGTGAATAATGGAGATTTTTGGGGATGGTGAAGGAAGGATTATTGGATTTTGTACAGAATGAGGACAGATCATTAAATCACACAAGTAATAATAATGACAAGGATAAAGTTTTCACCTTATAAAACAAATAGAGAATCTTCGAGTCACACATCGTGTGGTACTGTACAGGCACTTCCTTGTAAACGAAAGATTAGATTTATTTGTATGATACTAAAGGAGGTACCTGATGATTTACCATGGTTTAAATTAGAATGTTTTGCTTTTAAAATACCAGAAAAAAGTCTATTTTATCCCCCCCAAAAATAAAAAGATCTTAAAATCTCCCCAGGATGACAGGAGTGCTGGGGGAGGAAACTCTTTAGCTAAATGAGGAAAATCTTCAAACATAATCTGAATACAGTACTGTAGTACAGGTAGAAGATTATGATCAAATTGCACATTGGTAGCATCAACTTGTCTGAAGAATTTGAAGACAAATACTGTATAGGGTTAATAATACCACTGGGAAAAGGTTATAGAAAGATATGGTTAAAAAAGTGTGATTGGTCTGATTTCTTTAGCTCTTATGTTGCTCCAGATTATGTTTTTATTTAGATATATTTTTTTTTAAACGAAGTAGGTTAAAAAAATACGTCTTCTCCTCATTCAACATAGTGTATAGGTTTTGAAAATTTATATAATTGCTTTTTTTTAATTCTATTTATTTGTATTAGTTTAGTAAAGAAATGTAGACGGTTGAAAGTTATTCTTCACTATATTTTTGTTCTAAATTTCTCCAAGTGATTGCAAAAAATGTTCAGCACTGCCTGGCTAAATCAGTAGCCTCAACCCTCACACTGAAGGAGGCCATCAGTTAGCTGCTGACATTTTGAACCGGAAAATGTGGGTGCAGGAGGCAGCCATCTGCACACTTTGGCTTGGGTTTAGTGAATGTGTGCAGACCTGGATGCTAAATAAGTCCCTTCATATTAGAAGGGGCCTATTAAAGTACAAAAGGGTGATCCCTGTGCACCAATGAGAACCAGTGACTGGGGTTTATGTTGAGTTTATTTGTTTAGGTTTTTAGGAACAAACAGGAGAAAAGCTGTGGGGGACAACTTATGTGTAAATTTTAATAGAATCTCCAAATTACAATGTAAGTGAAATCCAAGCTGACCAGAATTTAGGTTTATTCAGAATCCTGTTTTTTATTTATTTATTTATTTTTTTTCTTAAGGGATGTAATAATTTATTCAGATGTTACTGTGTGTCTTTATCTTAGTGTAAGCTAGAGGCTGTCTATTGTCTGCCACAAATAACTGATTATCTAAGAAAGGGAAGGAAAGCTAGAAGGAGGGAAGCTATTACAGTTGTAAGTTAACAAGTGATCCCAGGTCTACATCTCTCCAGGTACTGTATTATTATTATTATGCAATAATGCATATGTTACTGACAAACTGAGGAGCAGCGTATCCAGCAGGACTTGACAGTCTTCCATTATGTCACCATTGTTGGACATTATGTCTCTCTGTGGTAATGAGAACTTTATAAACCTAGCAGCCAAGAATTATTCGTAATAATTTGTCTTTTATGTGTACAGAAACTCCAATATATATCACTGAGGTTGAACATGAGAATGTTGTTTCCACTGACATCATTACTAAGGCCATCATCAGGACCCAGCATCCAAGATGTGGGAACCCTACAATAATCACCCTGTCTGTGTATCAACAATTTCATGTTTGCTCTATAACTTTGAATCCAATAAAGATATTGCATTGGAAATTGGTATGCTTTATACAATCACCTAAAGATGATGCATACAAAATTTATGAGAGTTTGATCACTGCCAAATTTCAGCAGTTGGTGGGCCTTTGTTATGATGTCACTTTTATAACCTTATTAGTTGCTTGGGCAACTTATTGTCACCGAGTCAATGGATTGATACCTCTCACAACCGAGACACATGACTAGAACTCATCTGAATATCGATTTACTCTCTCCTGTCATATCTACAGTATTGCCTTTGCACCAGTATACTGTATTGTATTTTCTTGATGGTGAACTACCATTTCAGAGTCCACTGCTTTTTTTCCAGTCATTGAAGTGAGCTGTATAGACATCACCAGACTAGTACTCTGTTGGAAGTCAGGTGCCTTCCCACAGAATTTTAGGGTATTTGACTTGCAATTTGATTTGACTGTTGCCATACAATCCTCAGTATTAGAATAATGATAGGTGCATTTTTAATGTGTTGCAGAAGTGTTTACTTTTGCATTAAAACAAGTTCATTGCTTGAGTTTTCTTGCAGTTTAACTTATATTTAGAGATTTGCATATCTCTTCTTTTTCCTGAGCTCATGATTTAGGATTTTCTGTGAAGAATATGACTACAGTATTTATTTCAGATGAATTAAGCTAAGTAAGACTGGGTGGCCCCAGGTTGTGAGTAGGTGGTCCACACTCTTGGTATCCCATTTGGTTGATAATTATTTGCTTCATTGCACACATTGTGTGCTAAAAGATCAGTCTTTCAGAGAAATTTTTTATTGTTATAGTACACAATAAAGACATCTTAGAGGTAACAAAAATGTTATTTTGAAAATTCTTTAATAGTTTCAGGAAAGTCATAGCAATTTTTGAAAGTGTGACCCATTCATTTGTAGGCAAATTTGGTTGTGTCTGCACAACTTTTGAAATACCTGCAGCAACTCTTCAGCCTGGATGTCATGGGTAGCCTCAGAAATGTTAGCCTTCAGTTCTATTGTTTGGGAATTGTTTACATTGACAATGTTTTTGAGCTGTCCCCCACAGATAAAAGTCTGAAGAGGCTGAGTTGGGAGAATGAGGTAGTTATGAACCACAAGTAATGATGTGGTCTTCAAACATTGTATTGGCGGCTCGTATGTGTTGTGTACAGGCACACTCGTTGAACCCTCCATCATGGTTCGCTTCAGTAAGTTTATTGAAAAATTACTGGAGAATCTCATTAATGTACTGTTTGAAGTTCACAGGATTGTCAAAAAATATTATCAGACAACATGTCTTGTGGAAAGGGCATACATACATCAATTTTCTGATCATGCAATAGTCCATCTAAGATTACAGTATGTACTTGGAAATTCTCCATAACCTGTATCCTCATGTTCTGTCAGTGCATGTAGTCAGACATGTTGAACTGTACATTTATCTTGATAAAGAAGGTTCAGTATAAAACTTGATCCCTTTTTATACTGTGAAATTTTGGAACAAGGAGTTCACCGGCTGATCTTTGTCTCGGAGAATAAGTTCATGAACAACATGCACACTGTGGGGAACAAACTTCATTTACTTCTGTACAGCTCTGCATGAAGGGGTTAGCGAGACAACTACTTTTTGCAACAAGCATCTGAGCAGTTATCTTGGGCACTTTGCGAGGAAATGTTAATATCCTGCAGTACCACATGTCACAGCGTTTGGCCGACGACTTTGAGACTTGTCAGCATCGCTACATATTTCTCAAAACTTTTCAATTACAGTAATGTTTTTACAGTTTTGATGAGGTCTCAGTTAGAAACTCAAATATGACTGAAAAATATAAACTGATCTTTGGATTAGTTCCAGTCATGTGTTGCTTCTGGGAACCCTGGAGCTTCAACATCTAATACAGATAAGGTTATAAAAGGGAATTTCAGTATCAATTGCTCATTTAGTTTATCAAGAGTATAGTAGCTCATGAAAATTTTATTTGAACACAACAGTGTCATGGATAGACTTTTAAACTAATATATTTACACGAAAGTTCTTATGGATACCTGCAAATCCTCATATAATGTTATAAAGTCTTAATCATGTTTTTATATAGAATGATCAGTTTCATGAGGTAGAAAGTGAAAGGGGGAACAAAGATTACTGTATTCATTACATTTTGTATATTTGATAGAAACTTTTGTTGAATTTCTAGAGTACATTTACGTTAAATTAAGAAGACCTGCACAAGTGTGAAGGGGTCACCAAGTTTAAAATGAATGTCTGTGTTTTATATTGTTTTTAGACTATTGTTAGAACTTATTGTACATTTCTTTTGTTATGCAAATCAAATGTGACTACTCATAAAACATTGTGTATACGTCCTCATTCTATCTTCGTCATTCTCTCCAGATGTCAAATTATAGTTTAACTCCTGAACTCAAAATTTATGACTCCTTCAGTAACCTACATAAAACTTGCCATATGTTTCTTTACTGTATATAACAGTGACAAACAAATTTCATGGATATAGCTTTTATATATCAATTCAAGTTTCATGTGGTCCCAAAGTAATTGAAACAAGTCTGACCAACAAATTGGTCATGGACTGCATGGTGTTAGTTGCATGGGCCAGAAGAAAACCATAAGAGCATAGGAGGTCGGGAGCTCTGTGCATGTGAGTGCCCAGTTTTACCCAACAGTACTGCATGAACCAGGATCTACTGTACTAGGCAGAAAGAAGCAGGGAAAAACCTCATTCAGAGAAATCTCAGGGGCAGATCCAGGGGGAAGCGGGGGGTGTCTGGACTCCCCTTTTCACCAGAAAATTCCAGTACTTTTTCTTAAATGCAGTATTGTACTCGGGCATTTTTGTATAGTAAAATGTAATTACTATTGACTTCAGAATATCTCTATTATCCAGTGCACATGGCTTCAAAATGGCCTCAAAATGACCATGATAATGGTCAGATTAAAATAAATAAAAAATCTGGGGCTTACAGCCTCCCCCCCCCAAAAAAAAAGCCCCCCAACCCCCAAAAATGCCGTGGGCTTGCTGTGCTTTATCTGTAAGTCACTCAGGACAGGTGATCAGGGGGCTGAATGTTCAACCAAAAATCTACCACAGTTTGTTATTGGAAACAAATACTGTACAACCTTTCACTGAATTTGCTTATTTTTAGAACTACAGTGTATAAAATACTAGTAAGTAGGGATATTTTGGGGACTCCTTTCAGAAAACTTGGTCTCCAAATTAGTCTATGTATTTTTTGCTGAAAAACAGTACAGTATGGTTATACTGCACACACTTGTAGAGAAGTAATGATGATGGTCAATGAATTTACAACATTTATACAGCATCAGCACTATAATTTACAACATTTATACAGCATCAGTGCTGTAATTCACAACATTTATACAGTATCAGCACTATAATTTACAACATTTATACAGCATCAGTGCTGTAATTCACAACATTTATACAGCATCAGTGCTGTAATTCACAACATTTATACAGCATCAGCACTATAATTTACAACATTTATACAGCATCAGTGCTATAATTTACAACATTTATACAGCATCAGTGCTGTAATTCACAACATTTATACAGCATCAGTGCTATAATTTACAACATTTATACAGCATCAGTGCTGTAATTCACAACATTTATACAGCATCAGTGCTATAATTTACAACATTTATACAGCATCAGTGCTATAATTTACAACATTTAAACAGCATCAGTGCTGTAATTCACAACATTTATACGGTATCAGTGCTATATCTGTAATTGAAATTTCACTAAATATTATTTTGTTCACATTCTCAAAACATTGCCTGAAATTGCTGGCTAAACCTCAGTTACGTTGAAGTCCAGTACCTGTACATTTGAATGCACATTACTGTACTGGATGTCATTTTATGGTTACTAATTGGTATACACTTAATGCCCTTTCCTGCTTGTGCCATTCACACACTACAGTATATTATCCAACAGTGTAAAACTTAGGTTTATCTTGCACTGTTGTTTGCTCAGTTTCAAAATATATTTTGTTTGAAGGTTTACTCAATAATTTTCTCATTGTGCCTTTGGACATCATTTGCCAAATACTTCCATTTTTTTTCTTCTGGGTACTACTTTATATGATGCACTCCAGCATGTCAAGTCCTTTAAACTATATTTTTACTCTTGACTCTTGGTGTACCTGCCTCAAGAGCACTAATGCCATCATCATATTATAACATATTGTTTGCCATACATATCATTATAAAACAGTGTGGTTGTGGACAAGACTGATGTGAAAGCTTCATAGACCTTGGGTCTGGACAGGGATATGTAGTCTTTTTCAGCTGATGGCCAATTGATAAATCTTAATGTGTGTTGGTGGCAGAACCTGGTCACAACTATCCAATTTTATGCAAGATACAGAGATAGTTCTGTTACATACCATTTGGCAGGTCTCAGAAAACAAACTGGTACCACATCCAGCCCTCAGGCCATTGATTGTACCGTACGTTAAGATTAGAGAGTGTATCTTTTAAAGAGACTTTACTCAATACAGTATTTAATATCATCCTCATCATTGGTGTTGTGCCTGGGTAGGTCCATCACTAAGATCCTTCTCCATAGCACTGTGTCCTTAGGCTTCCTCTTATGTTCACCATATGTTTTCTGTTTTAGAGAACATCAGGGCTTGCTAATTTTCTTTGTCTCAAGATATCCTGGGAGAGTTATCTTAAACTTTTCATAAGTTTTGGATTTCTTTTTATTTGGCTCAAAATGCCCATGTGATGCTCATGACCAAATGTTGTTAAACATTTTGGAATGAGTTTGATGTCAGGCAGTTTTCAGCCTTTGAAACTTGTCAAATATCATATTGTGAATTATTAGAATTTCTAACAGATACATTTTAAAAACTGTACGAGCTAAAAGTGTTTGAAGAACATTGTACATGGATTAGTTTTATTGCATGCAGATCTCAAAGGTTGTGTTTGACAACTTTTGCATACATGGACCCATTCATGTTCAGGTAACCAGTCTGTGGTTTAACAACTAGGGTACCTGGACTCTTGATATGCAAGAGTGGGACTAAATTGCAGTAATGAAATTCATGTACTGTATAGTTTTTCCCAGGACAACACCTGGTCCAAAGAAGGGTGGAGCCTGGGAGGAGTCAGTTGTCACTGGCTGTGAGCTGAGAGTCTTCTGTGCAACACTAACATGCATTCACTCCTTGATTAACACAGGTTAGTTAGCAGACGGATAACAATCAACCTTCTATTTTCACTTTATAAACAAGTGTAAGTTGGGGAACTCAAAACCCTCCTCCTACTCTTGGGGATGCTGAGGTGTGCAGAAACTAGGGGTTGATCATGTTATCTATTTTCTAACCAGAAAATGAAAGTTGCAGAGGACAGCAAAGACTTTCAGCCAGAATGACATTTGATTCCTCCTAGATCCCAAGTTTTAAAGGGGAAATGGCTGTACTGTATAGGGAAAGATTTTATATATACTGTACAGTAATAGTTCCAGTCATTCATATTGGGTGTCTGGGAGCCATAGACATTTAGAGTATGAGTGAGTTGCCCGATCTATACTTGGTCATAAAATTGGATTTCAGGATAAATTTCTCATTTTGAAGTTAATGAAGAATCCAAATTTCAATGTTTTTGGTGGGAATATTTGAGCAGTCTGAGAAAGGAATACAGATGGATGTTTCTTACACGCAGATTTTGACCAAAAACTGTACTTACTGTTGGCATGGTCGCTTGTATCTTCACTAACTTGACCCCAATCAGATAGTTCTGAAAGAATCAGTGTAGTTATATTCTTTGACTCCTTTTTTTCCATTACATACATTTGATAATGCCATTTGGTTTGTTCAGGACATATTGAATATACCTGTACTTCTAAAAGTGGAACTAAAGATATGTGTTGGAGTTTATAAGTTTAGTATTGTAAACATATTTTTATAAATAGATGCTTAGTGAACTTCTTCATAATGGAAGAATAGCTATAGATTATGTAGTAAGATTTTTGTTTAACACATGAGCCATTGATCGTATAGTGTGCTGTACAGCCTGTAATGGTATGTGATGAGAAGGAAGGACCCGAAGATGGTTATTAGTGTCTGTACTGTGCAGCAATCTTGTCTTTACTGTGTAAAGTGTATTATTGCTGGATATGTAACACTGGAAATAGATTCAGTTGCAGCTATTGCTAACTGGAAATAGATTCAGTTGCAGCTATTGCTAACTGGAAATAGATTCAGTTGCAGCTATTGCTAACTGGAAATAGATTCAGTTGCAGCTATTGCTAACTGGAAATAGATTCAGTTGTAGCTATTGCTAACTGGAAATATATTCAGTTGTAGCTATTGCTAACTGGAAATAGATTCTGTTGCAAGTGTTGTTAATTGGAAATAGATTCCATTACAAGTATTTCCCACTGGATATAGAATCAGTTGCAAGTACAAGTATTGTTAACTGGAAATAGATTCAGATGCAACTATTGCCAACTGGAAATAGAATCAGTTGCAACTATTGCTAACTGGAAATAGATTCAGTTGCAAGCAATACTATTCTGTTACTATTAATTTTCTAAAATGGACTTTGTAAATGCAGAAGCATCATGATGACTCCCCATCATCATTTTGCACTGGATTATTATATTGTTTTTAATAGAGTGAAGAATATACAGCAGATTGACAAGTTTAGACATAATACGAGCTGCTGGATATTTTTAGGTTATTTTTTCTATAATAGAGCCTATTTGTAGAGTTTTTTTGTAAAGCCAACTATCCTTATCTTATATTTTATTATTGATTTTATACCCAGTTCATGTACATTGCATATCGCATTAGTCTTGTGACCATTGTAAATTTTGAATAAAGCTAATTATTATTACAGCTAACTAGTGCTATTAGTATCACCATGTTATGTAATACATAACTAATCCCAGTGCCCAGCTGGTTGGGTCCTGTAACACTTCCTTTATATACACGCTTGATACATATGTACATACCGGGTGTCTGCAATTCCTATTGTGTGCTGTACTTTAGAGGCTTTCCAGTATTTTATATATATATATATATATATATATATATATATATATATATATATATATATATATATATATATATATATATATATATATATATATATATATATATATATATATATATATATATGCAAGTAAATCACTGTAGGTGCGCGTGATCTAGGTATATGCTGATAACCACAAGGAAAGAAGAAAACACGAAGTTCCCAATCGCTTTCGTGTAATTCACATCTTCAGGGGTGAGTACAGACTAAGGAGACATGAATTTGAGTAATGGTATGTACAAACTGGATAATTTTGTAATTAAGAAGATTTGTAACCAGGTGAGAAGGTTGGGTCAGCTTACTCTCTGACCTGACTACCTGCAGTGCTTTTTGAAGATT